TGACTAGTGACAGAGTGACTCTTCATCTTCTACTTTTTATTTCCTCCCTCTCTCTCTGCTCCCTCTGGTCTCTCCCAGGCTGCTGCTCCTTACCCTTGCTGGCTGTGAGAGGGCTCTGTATGAAAGGAGACTACAGGCCTAGCCCCACCTCTCCCCATCACACAGAGCGCCACGTGGGACAGGAAGAAGGAGACCTGGCAGAGACAGAGAGCAGGTAATGAGGGGAGAGGTAATGTGCAGAGCGGTAGGTTGCTGGGGACCTGCGCTCCATCAGGGGCCCCAAAACCTATCAATAGAAGAGATCTTTTTTTTTTTTTTCATTTTGCTGTTCTGGTTGTAGAGATCTCTGGTCTCTCCAGCTGGAGCATCGCTGGTCGGCCGGGCCCCTGGCTGCAGGGGTCAAGTCCTGGGGAAAAAAGTGTGGGAACTCACCCAAGATTCCCGCCCCGCCCCCCCCCTTTAAAAAAAAAAAAATTACACTCCTATGCATATAGTGCAGTGCAGGGTGTGTATAATGAATGTAGTGTGTTTGTAGTGAATGCAGAGTGTGTATAATGAATGCAGTGTGTTTTTAGTGAGTGCAGAGTGTGTACACAGAATGCAGTGTATGTAGTGTGTTTGTAGTGAATGCAGAGTGTGTATAGTGAATGTAGTGTGTAGTGAGTGCAGAATGTGCATAATAAATGCAGAGTGTGTATAGTGAATGCAGAGGGTGTATAGTGAATGTAGTGTGTTTGTAGTGAGTGAAGAGTGTGTATAATGAATGCAGTGTGTGCGTGTGCGCGCTGGATGACGTGTGTGTGAGTGCTGGATGATGTGTGTGTGTGTGCTGGATGATGTGTGAGTGCTGGATGATGTGTGTGAGTGCTGGATGATTGTGAGTGCTGGATGATTGTGAGTGCTGGATGATTGTGAGTGCTGGATGATTGTGAGTGCTGGATGATTGTGAGTGCTGGATGGATGTGTGCGAGTGCTGGATGTGTGTGTGAGTGCTGGATGATGTGTGTGTGAGTGCTGGAGTGCTGGATGATGGGTGTTTGTGTGAGTGCTGGATGATGGGTGTTTGTGTGAGTGCTGGATGATGGGTGTTTGTGTGAGTGCTGGATGATGGGTGTTTGTGTGAGTGCTGGATGATGGGTGTTTGTGTGAGTGCTGGATGATGGGTGTTTGTGTGAGTGCTGGATGATGGGTGTTTGTGTGAGTGCTGGATGATGGGTGTTTGTGTGAGTGCTGGATGATGGGTGTTTGTGTGAGTGCTGGATGATGGGTGTTTGTGTGAGTGCTGGATGATGTGTGTGGGGGGGGGGAGGATTTTTTTAAACTTTATATTTTTTTTTATTTTATTCCCCCCTCCCTGCTTCTTACCTTGTCAGGGAGGGGGGAGATCGCCTGGTGGTCCGGTGGTATGCTGGAGGGGCCATCACGCAGTGTTCCCTCTCCAGCTCTAACTCTCGCGAGACTCGCCTGTGCGGAGCGTTGCCATGGTAACAGCAGCGGGTCTCGCGAGAGTTATAACTGGAGAATGAACACAGCATGTGACGGCCCCTCAGTGCAGGGACCAGGGCCGGTCCTGCAGGACAGGTAACGGGAACGGCGTTCCTGCTATGGAAAAAGTGCAGGAACGCCGTTCCCATGCGTTCCTGCAGGACTCGAGCCCTGTGCTGGATGATGTGTGTGTGTGTGCTGGATGATGTGTGTGCTGGATGATGTGTGTGTGTGTGTGTGTGTGCGTGTGCTGGATGATGTGTGCTGGATTGGTGCTGGATGATTGTGTTGTTGGTGCTGGATGGTGTTGTGTGCTGGATGATGTGTGTGTGTTGGATGATGTGTGTGTGTGTTGGATGATGTGTGTGTGTGTGTGTTGGATGATGTGTGTGTGTGTGAGTGCTGGATGATGTGTGTGTGAGTGCTGGATGGTGTGTGTGTGAGTGCTGGATGATGGGTGTGTGAGTGCTGGATGATGGGTGTGTGTGTGCTGGATGATGGGTGTGTGTGTGCTGGATGTGCTGGATGATGTGTGTGTGTGTGTGCTGGATGATGGGGGTGTGAGTGCTGGATGATGGGTGTGTGTGCTGGATGATGGGTGTGTGTGCTGGATGATGGGTGTGTGTGTGCTGGATGATGGGTGTGTGTGTGAGTGCTGGATGATGTGTGTGTGTGTGAGTGCTGGATGATGTGTGTGTGTGTGTGAGTGCTGGATGATGTGTGGGGGGGGGAAAGCATTTTTTTTAAAAACTTTATGTGTATGTATATTTTTTATTTTATTCCCCCCTCCCTGCTTCTTACCTTGTCAGGGAGGGGGGAGATCGCCTGATGGTCCGGTGGAGGGAGCCAGCCGCTGCACACAGGAGCGATCACAGGCTGTGTTCCCTCTCCAGCTCTAACTCTCGCGAGACTCGCCTGTGCGGAGCGTTGCCATGGTAACAGCCGCGGGTCTCGCGAGAGTTAGAGCTGGAGGGGGAACACAGCATGTGATGGCCCCTCTGTGCAGGTAGCAGGGCCGGTCCTGCAGGACAGGTAACGGGAACGGCGTTCCTGCTTTGGAAAAAGTGCAGGAACGCCGTTCCCATGCGTTCCTGCAGGACTCGAGCCCTGGTTGTTTGGCAGTGACACATAACATGATCTGTTAATTCATGCCTAAAGTACAATGTGTGTGACAAAGAAACAAAAGATTACTACCCAAAAGTTTGACAAAGGCTGGTGGTAGAATTCAGTGCATGAAGTGTTAAAATACCACCATTTAAAATACCCTGGGTTGTCTACAAAAATATATGGTTTGATGGGGGTTAAATACATTGGCTCTAATGGGACATGGGCGCAGGTTGATTACATGTCAAAATTCCAAGTTGGGAAACTGATAAGCGCACCTGCCAAACGTTAGCCCCCAAAGAACCCGGCAAGCCTATGCATGGGTGGTATCACTGTACTCAGGAGATCTTGCTGAACACATATTGGGGTGTTGTTTGGCAGTGATACATAACAGGATCTGTTAATTCATACCTAAAGTACAATGTGTGTGAAAAAAAACCAAAAAAAAATTACTACCTCGATGTTTGACAAAGCCTGGTGGTAGAATTAGTGCATGGAAAGTTTTAAAATACCACCATGTGAAATACCCTAGGGTGTCTACTTTTCAAAAATATATGGTTTGATGGGGGTAAAATACATTGGCCGGCTTTAAAAAATGTCCCAAATAGGACATGCATGCAGGTTGACTACATGTCAATATTCCAAGCTGGGAAACTGATATGCGCACCTGCAAAATGTGGCCTTTTAGCCCCCAAACAACCCAACACACCTATACATGGGGGGTATCCCTGTACTTGGGAGATGTTGCTGAACACATATTGGGGTGTTGTTTGGCAGTGACACATAACAGGATCTGTGAATTTATACCTGAATTGCAATGTATGTGAAAAAAATAAACTACCTATGCAAAGTTTGGCAAAGGTTTGTGGTAAAATGGCAGCATAGAAAGTATCAAAATATTCTTAGATGTATAACCCTGGGTTATCTAGTTTAAGAAAAATATATACATGTGGGGTGTTTTTTGGAGATTTATGACATAACAGTGTTACACTGTCACTATTGATAATTTAAAAAATGTACATTTTGAAACAGCAATTTCCTACTTGTTTTTAAACTCAGGACAAAATGCGCGCGCACATTCAGCCAGTCCATAGGAAAGCATTATCAATGCTTTCCTATGGACGCTGGCGTCTTCTCACTGTGAAAATCAATGAGACAGCCACTAGAGGCTGGATTAACCTCTAGGTAAACATAGCAATTTCTCTGAAACTGCTATGTTTACAGAAAAAAGGGTTAATCCTAGCTGGACCTGGCACCCAAACCACTTCATTAAACTGAAGTGGTCTGGGTGCCTATAGTGGTCCTTTAACATACTGAAGGGGTTAAAGATGGAGTCCTGGATGCAGTTACATAGTAAATGTATTCCTAATGAAATACAGTTGCATGCTATGCCCTCTAAATTAACTTGGTGTTACAGAACAAGTAAAACATTTACAAGATTCCATATCAGGCTGTCCCTATGAGCTTGGTCTATGCGCATACACAGAAGATGGGATAGGAGCAAGCAGGACAGGAGTGCAGCATTAGTAATGTGCAGTTATACTGGAATATATCATTTCTATTTTAATACATATGATCCTTCCTTGAACTGTAAATGCTCAGCCAGGGGATCCCAAACCAATGGTCATAATACTATCAGGTTTACATTTAACTCCGGCATACTTGAAAATGAGAGAAATCTCAAGGTATCCTTCCTGATAAATTATTGTATAAATAATTAAATAAATAAATAACATAATTATTAACTCAATATGTATTTAGAATCCTTGTGTGAGCTAATGCCATTGACTATATGGGGCATATTTATCAAGGTGAGACTGTTTGCAAAATGCTATATATGGAGTAATCTGCAAACATGTTTTATTAATATTTGACTATATATATATATATATATATATATATATATATATATATATAAATAAACTCCTGTACTCCAACTTTAACAAAATAAATACCTGGTGCTCTGGTCACAGCACTCCAGGATTTGGTAAAAAAAAAAAAGATTCTTCTTTTATTCTTACAGTTCCAAATGGGCAACGTTTCAGCTCTTGTACAGAGCTTTCATCAGGACAAGATGATGTGTGTGTGTATATATATATATATATATATATATATATATATATATTTCTAATAATGGTGATTGTCATATAGCACATCACTAGTAGCTATACATTTTCTGCACTTTGGACCTGAAACACACTCTTTTTATATTGAGACTAGAATGGAGTTTTTTTAATGTAATAATTTGGACCTTGGCTTGTAGGAAACTGTTCTACACAATTCAAATTTTAAAATGAAAAGGAGTACCATCAACCAATGTATTGCTTTGTTTTACTTTGCTTAATTATTTAACTTATTTTCTGATATATAACCAGTAGAGTTGTCAGGTTTACAATTTAAAATCCGATCTTCTAAATAAGCCTAATTTCTAGAGCTAGATCAGACATTGAAACACTACATTGGATTATTCGCTATGAAGAACAAGGACAAGTCCCAAAACATACTCCCATAATGCTGTTTTCAGCAAGAATTAAAGTGCTTCACAAGGCATTCAGGTTAATTGATGCTTAACTCACAATCATGTGAGTTGAAGTTGAGCAGTCCTAATCTTCTGCTAAATCTAGGCTATCATCTGGAAATATTAAGGTATAGATTAAGCAAAATCCACATTTGCCTCTGAAAGTTTTTTCACAGTTGTGTTAATCTATGATATATATACTCCCTTCAGCCCATGCTGCTAGTTATTTAAAAGTGGTTAATTGACTACATAGCCTTCAGTTTAATGCATTATTTATATTTTCTATAAACTATACAGTAATAGTAGTAATAGTAAAGTGCTGTGAAAATGCCTGGTGCGGCTAGAGGTTGACCTAAAGCATCTTATCAAGTAAAACCTTTTAATTAAAGAATTTAGTGGTGATTATAAATAACCTGTATTATATATGTTAGCAGTATGTGCAGCCTCTGCGATATAGTGTCTATGATGCAACTCTCTTTATTTCCCAACATATGGGGAAAATTAAGTCTTAAAGTTGCATTTAGGGATATAGCGTACTGGTAGCTACTTTTTCATGAAACCCGTGGTGGTCAAAGTAGTTCCAGATTCTTTTATGTATTATCTATTTTATACTGCCTGTCTTAATGTGTTCTAAAATCAGACTGTACTTTGCAAACAACATTGGTATCCTCAACTTGTACCTGTCATGGTACACTTTACTCCTGATCTAATTAAAGAGCATAGGAATGCATCTATACATTGTGCTAAGAGAATTGCTAACAAGCACATTACAAATAATACACAGTATGCTGTCAGCATATTGAGTATGTCCAGGATTGACGGACAGGTGAGAAGTAGGAGATCCCTCCTATAGGAGGTTTTTGTTCTTTCCTTCACAGTAATAGTTGCTGTGACTATTCTTGTGATGAGAATATCGTCTGCTTTTCTAGAGGGATATAGATATGAAGTGACCAATATAATCAGTGAAGTCAGTGTGTTTGTGTCATAGTCTAAGAGCACTTTGCTTTAAAAGGACCCTGTATGCACCCAGACCACTTCAGCTAATTGGCATCTCTAAGTTGGTCCACAGTGGCTGTCTACCAGACAGCCACTAGAGGGACTTCCTGAATCAAAACGGACCTTTGGTCTGGTATCTGATGCTGGATGTCCTCCAGCTTTGCATGAGGACTTTCAGCCTCCGATTTCATCCCATAGGAAAGCATTGATTAATGCTTTCCTATGGGGAGGTCTAATGTGGTCTAATGTGCGCATGCGAGCCGTCTGAGGGGGCGGGGCATCGACAAGGTAAGTAAATAAAAATTTTTTAACCCTTTAACCGGTTTGGGGGGCATGAGGGAGACAGGGAGACAGTATTATTGATGGGGGATGATTGAAGTCTTTGGATGTATCCAGAAACTCTGTTCAATGTAGACTCTTGTTACCTGAATTGTTTTATTTTTTGTCCCTTTTTGCAGGTTCCGAGTCGAATGTTAAAGGGCCATCTGTAACAGGTCCAGGAGAGCACCTCAATTCCAAACTAATGTCCAGTTCTTTTGTTGTCAGACTTGCTGACTTAAATATTTTTCAGGTAAAAAAAAAAAAAAAAAGTGTCACTTGTTTTTCATGAATACAATATAATTTTCAGTCTCGCAATTAGGTTTAGTAGCTCCAGAAAAAAAATACAGCCAAGCCATTTCTTTCTCCCACAAATCAGTGCATGATATTTACAGGTATTAAAAAAGGTTGCATAGTTAAAAAAATAAAAGATGAAATAAGACACTTTCAGAGTTATTCACTAAAGTGAGAATTCAAAGTGAATCCAGGAGAATTTCTAATTTAAGGCCAGAGCAGCAAAGCTGGATTTTTTTCAGTTCAGCTGTTTTGACCCTAAATTTGAAATTCACCTTGAATTTTCACTTTAGTGAATAACCCCATAAATCATTCATGACTAATCATTAACCTTGTAAATCAGCTCCTTGGCGGACCCAGTGTAAGTAGTCAAACGGTTTTTGAATGGCTTGTCTTGTCGTCCTGCTTTTTGGCTTCATTACAGCCTTCTCTCTAACTCGAGGCTCACTTGATGGCTGAGACGAGATGGGGAGTGGCACCTGTCAGACCCCAGGAAAGAAGTCAATAAGATGGCTTGACTACTTAAAATAGGTTTTCTTGGCACCGTAACAACTACAATGTGCTGTTCTGGTTATAGTGTTTAGAATATTCATTAAGTGTTACTCTTAGCACCATAACCACTTCATTTGAAGTAGTTATGGTACAAAGAACCTGTCTAACTCCCTGGGCTGTCAATCAGCCAGCTGGAAGCCTCTGTTGTTGGCTAGGTGAATCAGTTTTGTGCATCTTTTTCGCTTGGTCTCAGCACCTGCAGAATGCTAACCCCAATGCGCATTGGACAGGCTTCACATACCTTAGTGAGTTATGGTGGGATATATTAAGTGCCTATAAAGTGGTCTAAAATACTAAAAGTGGGTCAGTTATCACTGAAACCAGCAAAACTTACAGGCACGTTGCATTATTGATTCTGCCCCATTTCCATGTTTGCACCACTTTTAAATTTTTAAACGGAAACTTTTTATACACGCAAATACATTTAAAAAGTGGTTACCGTATGTGTGTTTTTTTTTTTTTTGTTTCAAACATGGACTATGCTGATATTCTCATGCTTTTTTTCTTTTTGTTTTTTTTAAGAGTATTTGTAGCTTTATATAAGAATTTGAAGAGCCATCTGCAGTATAATAAAGGGTTTTGTGTTGTGTTTTTTTTTTTTCCCGTTTTCTTTCTATGTGCACTTGGTGAAAAAGAGCAATAACTGTAAAACCTAATGAACGATAAGATTTTAGCGTCTATAAAATATTTGTGTAAATTTTAGTAAATGTGTATTTTGTAAACTGTTAAATATATGCATTTAAAAGTATTTCTCACAGGCTTGTTCTGATTGACTCACACAATGGCCCTTCTCATTTGTCTGGAAAGGGCATCATGCATATTGGCTAGTACTCAAAAGACATGCCCATTTTATGTTGGTCAAGCAAAATTGCCCAACATACTTTTGATTACTTTATAGAAACATTCCGAGCACAATAAATACTACAGAGTGCTATAGCTTCTCTTGCTGCTGCTCTCTTGGCACCAGTGAACTGTAGTGGTTATGGTGCTTGAATATTTCTTAAAATGGTTTAGTGGTGCTTCAATATTCCACATGATGGTGCATAGAAGATCTGTTGTGACCAAACCACTTGATCATGCACCAAGACTAAACAAGCAATATCCACCAGCAATAGCTCTACGAGCAATCAAGGTTAAAATACAGCTGATGTTCTTGCGCCAGTTTAACATGTGCATTCTGTTAGTCGCAGTCTTACAAAGGTAGCTGCATACTGTACTGGTTCAGTTGCGACGGGCTGTTTATAGTTGATTACATTCAACTTTGTGAGTATCCTAAGGCTGCCAGTGTTAAGTCAATATCACAAAATTGCACTTCTCTGTGGATGGAATAATATTTTTTTTACTCGTATAAGTATTGGGGATCCCTTCTGGCAGTACCAGATTAAATTGTTCAAAAATAAGTGTGTGTATGTATATATATATATATATATATATATATATATATATATATATAATATGCTTTTTTTTTTTTTTTTCAGGTTTCTACAGCTGATCTGTGTCGTTCGTCCCCTAAAACAATGATTTCCTGCAATAAGAAGAGCCTGTATCTTCCACAGGAAATGTCTGCAATTCATATTGAATTTACTGAATATTATTTCCCAGATGGAAAGAATTTTCCTAGTAAGGCATTCTTGTTTGTGGTTTATTTTGGGCAAAAATTCTAAAGCCTGCTGAAATCTGTTCAAACCAATGTATACTGATCATAATCTTGGTAGATTTTTACGATTTGTTTAATTTACCGTAATTAAAAATAATCTGTCATGAACGTACATGTTTTATAGAATATTAGTCCCAGTATGTGCTAGAGCTGGACATGGGTTTCTAAAATCACCAGAAAAAGTGTATATAAAATCAACATTTATTTGCCAGCAGTATAGGGTAATGAATGTTGTTCCTCCTTTTGTGTTGCAATCTGGAAGTTAAAGGAATTTATTGTGATTTTTTGACATTTATTTTACACTGTATGTAAAACACTTTAAAGCTACAAATATTTTTATTGTGACACAAAAGTTAAACAAAACAAAAAGAAAATTGGAAAAAACAAACCAGACATTTCCTGGTTGCAAAAGTTACCCTACCCCGTCAACACTTGTTAGAAAATACTTTTTGTATCAATTACAGCGGTGAATCTATAGGCAAGTTAAGTCTCTGCCAACTTTGCACATCTGGCTCCTGAAGATCAGAGCGGAAATGCTTGCAGGTGTATAGATTTCCATTTAATGCAATTTAAAAATAAATTCCTCCCCCGACTGTCAAACAATTCTCAGCATGAGATCTGTAGGCTGGCAATATACAGGTCTAATCATAGTACTGAGTGACAGGGGAGAGCAAGAAAACTCTTGTACAAGCTCCTGTCAAAGGGTAGTAGTGTGAAATGCATGCAGGGCCACATTCACTATTCCCTTTCCCATGTAAGTCTTTTTAGTTTACTATAATTTGTAGCATTTTATGGCACTCATATAAACCTTAAAGGCACCAGAACAACTACAGCTTATTAAATTTGTTCTGGTGAGTAGAATCATTACCTTCAGGCTTTTTGCTGTAAACACTGTCATTTAAGAGACAATGCAGTGTTTACATTACAGCCTAGTGATAACTTCACTGGCCACTCCTCAGATGGCTGTTAGAGATCCTTCCTGGGTCATGGCTGCCTAAAATGCATCGAAACATTCAGTGTCTCCTCCCTCTATATGCAGACACCATGGAGGCAGAGGGACTTTTTAGTGTTCCTTTAAAATGTGCTAGAATGACACTCTAAGCACCAAAACAACTTTTAGCTTAATTAAGTGGCTTTGGTGTGTAAAACATACGGTCTTACTGCTCAGTTCTTTTCTATTTAGGAGTTAAATCACTTTGTTTATGCAACCTTAGCCACACCACATGCCCAATTTTTAAACTTTACTTATTGCACAGTGTGTTTAAAGCGGCGCTGTCTCACCCTACCCCACCACCACCCCCTTTCTGCAAAATATGTATTTCATAAAGATAAAATCTTTATAAAATACTCATGCTGACTGTTTAAATTTCACTTGGACTATTTTGTTTTAGTGTATTTCCTACGCCTGACACTTTTATACACTGGGTGGAGCTAACGTCGTAGACAAGTATCTATCTCTACGGCTGTAGAGATATTCGCTGTATCTATGGAGGAGTCCGTGGTCTTGCAGCATTCTCCTTAGACATCAGTGCTGTACTCTTGCGCATGAGCAAGAGTACATCCGTGATGTCGACTACTAGCACAGGACCGGTTAAAAGAAAATGTCAGTGCCCGCAAGGAATAGGTTCATGTAAGTATATCTCACCTTTCCCAACCCCTTTATGACCACCAGCTGTGATGTCATCGTTGGGGGTCTTTCTCAACTATGTAATGTCCCCAGATGGATGACAGTGCCATTTTAATTTAGACGTTCTAATCTCCTACTCTGTTAATTGCCTGTTTGAGCCTGCAGCAGCCTCCTGTGTGTAATTAAAGTTCAATTAATAGAGTAGGAGAAAAATACACGTAAACACACTGTGCTGTAAAATTGCTTGAAAATTAAACCTTTTCTCAATGAGGCTGTGTGAGTCACACCTAGAGAGCAGAAAGACTGCAGGGGCATGGTCTATATCAGGGGTAGGCAACCTACGGCACTAGTGCCATGCACGGCACTCAAGGTGTCTTTGCACGGCACTCAAGGTTGCTAGAGCCAAACAGGCTCTGGCCTATCAGAAGTCCCAGTATAACTTCAGATATCTGCTAATACGAAGAGGTGGTGAAGGACAATCCTCAATTTATGTATTGCAGCACATAGATGAAGTGATCTCACATCACTTCCTCCCAACACTTGTGAATGGGAATCCACACTGTAGTAGAGCAGCCCGCAGCTGCTGTTGCAGCTTCTGTCCTTGACATGTACCTGGCCAGTCTGGTGCCCACTGGAACCCAGGGAAGCCACCCACACTGCTAGATATACCCAGAGATGAAAAATAACCCTCGTCTCATACAAATAATATGAACAGCCCACAAACAAACACAACACACAATCCGCACAAATGTAACCCGCTAACAATCCATATACATGCACACAACCCCACATGCAGCGCCAAACAGCCCCACACATATACACACACTACCAAACACACAATGTGACATATCCACACACAATTCCACAAGCAGCCCTCTTACACAGCCCACATTCATAGGTATCATACACGATACCATAAACTACTAATGAACATATACAATATAATAGCTTATATATGCACAAATACAACAATACAAATCAAGTACAGTAAAAAATAACACAAGCAGAAGACTGCAACATACACACCTCAATTTAAAAAAACTAGGACCAACGCGCTACGGGACATCACAATCTTATATCGGCACAGTGCTGCTAAAAGGTTGCCTACCCCTGGTCTATATACCAAAAATGCTTTGTTGTGCTAAAGCTGTTTTTATGCTTCGTCTATCTGATGAAACATGCCAAACTTTTACATACAACTGAATTATAGCAGGCATGAGACTGTTACCACGGAAAAATAAAAAGACAGGCGAGGCTGTGCCAATAAAACAGTAAAAAATAAATATAAGAGAAACAACGTTCCAATAATAAGGGTATAATCCACTGGAATAGGTAGTCGGAAATAAGTCTCACTAAAATATTAGGATAGGGTGGGGGTGAAATCCTCAAGAGTTGATCCGTCCGGATGGTTTAAAATATCCGTATAGGTGGAGAGACAAAGGGGAGATACGACGACTAATAGTGCAATATGCCAAAATCCAGGGATAAAATTGAATAAAGATAGGCAATACACTCACATTGAAAAGAGCTATACCTCGATTAGCGGATATACAGGAGCGGTATGTCTGTGAATACAGTCTGGGTATCCAAGACTCCGACAGGTGATAAAAAGACAACAATAGTGCTCTCAGTGTGATAAAAAAATGAGAGATAAAATAGATAAAATTATACTCACAAATATAGAGCAGGAATTACTGCTCTATTTATAAAGTGTTAGTGGAATGATGCCCACTTCGGATTTCTTTGGGTACAGGAAGTTTGGCACGATTGTGTTTCCCAGAATGGGGTCACTAGGACCAGTTCGATCTGATATCTGCAAGAGTGTAGAAGGGTGCGAGGGATCATGGAGAACGGGGGGAAAGCATATAGGAGGTCTCCGCTCCAAACCTGCAGGAAGGCGTCCACTGCCTCCGCCGCCTGATCCGGCCTCCAGCTGAAGAATCGTGGGAGCTGGGTGTTGAGCTGGGAGGCGAATAGGTCTATAGCAAAAGGGCCCCAAAGAGACGATATACTGGAGAACACGTTCGTGTCCAATTTCCAGTCGCAGTCACTAGCCCCAGTCCGCCTGGACGTTGTCTCCACCAGGTTCCAGTCTAAGCAAAAGTCCCAAAAGTATTTCGCCAATCTGGCCAGAACCACAGATTGAGTACTGCCTAAGTGGTTGACATAACTCACCGCTGATACATTGTCCATGCAGAGGTGGATGCATGTATGAGCTCAGTCCCTCGCGAAGCTGCGGATCGTGAAGGAGCCTGTCAAGAGTTCCAACACGTTGACGTGGAGTCGGGATTCGGATTTCGACCAGCGACCCCTTGTCGCCACACCCTCGCAGCGAGCCCCCCAGCCATGGAGGCTTACATCTGAGTCAATCGTGAACTCCGGCATGGAGCCGAAGATTGCCCTGCCGTTCCAAGAAGATAGGTTGAGGATCCACCATCGCAATTCGTCCTTTGTCTCATTGTCTAGCGATACCAGATGGTATGTGAGAGGGTAGAAGACATGGACCCCATGGCTGCCATAATGGCATCTGTCATCAAGCGCTGTAGCGCCAAGAATTGGTCCCCTTCAAGTTGGGTGGGTCTACCTGCCAGAGTAGTTGGCGTGTCATAGATAACGGGGGGTCTCTCCCAGAGGCAAAGGGGCATCTATCACCCCAGAGGGTGGTGAGCTGGAAGGCATCCTGTGTTTGGGCATATTGGATGCAGCTCAATATTCCTACTAGTGAGTTTACAGGGTAGTAAGGGTAAGTCACCCAAATTATAGGGAAAAAAGAACGATAGGGATCTCACCAGGGCCCAGACCAGAGACACACAGACACACAGTATGAGAGACAGGAAGTCGGAAAATGGCCGCTACGAGTCTCGCGAGATTCGCGGCAAAAACCACTGAATTCATCAATAGAAAAGAACCGAACGTGCGGTAAAATAGGTGAATTTGTGTGAATAAAACAGACGAATGTAAAAACAGACAAACAAGTAAACCGCACAAACCAATTAGTTGAACGCTGCAAATACGCGAATGTTGCTATATGCCAGTGAAACTAACGAATGGTCTGTGTTCGTGAATTTAGCTGGACGGCTAGCTTCATGCCCAAAACAGCCAAACAGAATGGAGAAAAGCAGCGCAAAATGGCGCCAGAGGACAGGGAGAGGAGAGATGGTGAGATAAGAGATCAGAGCAAATCATAGAAAAGACAAACTGAGAGTGGACAGATAGATATTTCACACAGAAGGTCTGGCACCCTGGGAGACAACAATATGTATATACACACCTATACACACATATAATAAGCATAAAAAGATAAACTGAGGAGAAAAGATTCCTTAATAGAATCAAATAAAAGAATAGTATTGAATTTGTCAATAAAGAAGAAACAATAGAACAATAAATGACAAATAGCAGAATAACAACCATAACTGACAGAATAAATAAGTAATCTATGAGAGAAAAAATGTGAGCTGTTACTTATCTTTGGAGCAGCAAAGAAAGAGGGAAATGAAAGGGAAGTGCTGCCTTTTATACTGGGACCTGTGCAGGGAGAGGCCTATGTTACTGTATGTTCATTGTTTTTTCATTCTGTTTATATACTTTGCTGCTATTGGTGGACAGTAAAGAAAGGGATATGCAATATGAGCCTCCGTGCAGAAATGGCCACATGTTCTACCCTTTGCCTACCCTTGTTTTATTTTAGTAATAAATAATGGGCTAGTATAATTCACAACTTTTGATTTAAAGGGATCTCGTCCCTCAAAACAATATTGTCCCTTTAAAGCTGTTTTGAGCAATTGAGTCCCTAGACGTCTTATCTAGTGGCGTTAAACTGTTTTTGAATGTCTATGATGCTCTTCCCTTTTGATGTTTGGCCACCATATTAAGCAGAAAAGGGAATCATTGAGAATTATTGGGTGCCTGTGACTGAATGAAGGCATAAGCTGAGACTCTTAGCCAATCACTGGCTGAATATTTCAATTACAGTACTCAAAATAGGAAGTAACTAATTATCTGAGTGTGTCAAGTTATGCTCTCAACCAATCACCAGTACCCAATACTTCTGAATGAATCACTTCTCTGCTCAATACAGTAGTAAAACAGCAAAGGGACAGGAGAGCATTTGGGTGTTGAACTGCTCTAATTTGGTTTAATACCATATAGTAAGACTTCATTTAGGGACTCCGGGGCTCAGAACAATTTAAGTGAGATGAAGTTATTTTGAGGGAAGAAAGTCACTTTAATATGACTACAGTTTAATTATATTGTCACATATGCTATAATGGCCTGTTTGTGTATGTTTCTATTTGTAATCTTTATTTCTTTTTCTTATCAGTTCCAAGTTCCAACCTGTATGTACAGCTAAATGCCCTCCAGTTCACCTTAGACGAGCGAAGTATTGTATGGTTGAACCAATTTATACTGGATTTGAGACAAAGTCTTGATCAGTTTATGGCTATGTATAAACTGACCGATAGTTCCAAGTCTGATGAGCATGTTGATATCAGAGTAGATGGACTAATGTTGAAGGTAAATATTAACTAATTTTAATTTATTTTTTTTAAATTTAATTTAGATAATGTTGGCATAACTGCTGGTTTATGCTATCCCAACAACAGTAAAGAAGAGGTTTCCAACATCGGTAACTATTACATCTTGGCTCCATGAACTCTTTCTAGGCCTGAATGTGTCTGGCTTACGAAATCGTAGGAAATGTCTGTAAAACTTAAAGGGACATTCTAGGCACCATAACCAATTTGTCTGATTGAAGTGATGATGGTGCCTGGAGTCCACTGGCTTAATCCCACTGTTCAATTGCAAACTGATATTGACCAGTTTGACAGTGAATGAGGGTCACTTGGCACCTTTGACTCTGCTCCAATCTGTGGACTCTGTCTGTTGCAGAGTATAACTCTGTATTAGCTGTACTAACGAAGATCAGTGATGGGGGACATTGACAGGCTGAGCGTGCTCAGCTGATGCTCTTGGCCTATAACACATGTTCACGTTGCTTCCTACAACCATAGGTGTGCGCATGGGGTGTGCCTGGGCACACCCTAATCCCCGCGGCACGCCTATGTATATTGAGACCGGCAGGGGAGATATCAGGATCCCCCTTGTCAGCTCAGGCAGAGCCGGCGCTGCTCTCAGCCTCCCTCCCTACTGACCCACATGCAGGGAGGGAGGCAGGAGAGGACCCGGGGAGCTCTTGCTGGCAGCTCCGCCGGGTTCCTCTCGCGAAATATGAGCGTTGCCATGGCAATGCTCAAATCTCGCGAGAGTCAACTCTAGCCCCACAGGGGACCACCAGGGAAAGCAGCAGCAACAAGGATCCCCCCTCCCTACATAAGGTAAGAAAGGAGGGGGGATATTAATCCCCCACACACATACAGCACACACAGACATGCACAGCACCAACACACATACAGCACCCACAGACATACACAGCACCCACAGACATACACAGCACCCACAGGCATACACAGCACCCACAGGCATACACAGCACCCACAGGCATACACAGCACCCACAGGCATACACAGCACCCTCAGACATACACAGCACCCTCAGACATACACAGCACCCTCAGACATACACAGCACCCACACACATACACAGCACCCACACACATACACAGCACCCACACACATACACAGCACCTACACACATACACAGCACCCTCTCACACACAGCACCCTCTCACACACAGCACCCTCTCACACACAGCACCCTCACATATACACAGCACCCACAGATATACACAGCACCCACAGATATACACAGCACCTACACACATACAGCACCCACAGACATACACAGCACACATATACAGCACCCACACGCATACACAGCACCCACAAACACAGTACATTAACAGCACCCTCACAAGCGCGCACAAACAAACACCCTCACCCACATAGCACACTACCAGCACCGTCACACACACAGCACACACACACACACACACACACACACAGCAGTGTGTGTGTGTATGTATATATATATATATATATATATATATATATATATATGAAACATACATACATATACACATGCTTGTGCTTTCGGGTGCACACCCTAATGCAATAGGCTGTGCACACCTATGCCTACAACATCAGGTGTCAAGGAGGGAGAGCTCTGTGCAAGCAGACTGCAACAATGTCCCAAGTGACAGTGCCACATTAATGTTCACAGGAGCTGTGCAGTAACAGTGACTTTAAAGTTTAAAGGGACACTATAGTCACCTGAACAACTTTAGCTTAATGAAGCAGTTTTGGTGTATAGAACATGCCCCTGCAGCCTCATTGCTCAATCCTCTGCCATTCAGGAGTTAAATTCCTTTGTTTATGAACCCTAGTCACACCTCCCTGCATGTGACTTGCACAGCCTTCCATAAACACTTCCTGTTAAGAGAGCCCTATTTAGGTTTTCTTTATTGCAAGTTCTGTTTATTAAGATTTTCTTATCCCCTGCTATGTTAATAGCTTGCTAGATCCTGCAAGAGCCTCCTGTATGTGATTAAAGTTTAATTTAGAGGTTGAGATACAATTATTTAAGGTAAATTACATCTGTTTGAAAGTGAAACCAGTTTTGTTTTTTTCATGAAGGCTCTGTCAATCATAGCCAGGGGAGGTGTGGCTAGGGCTACATAAACAGAAACAAAGTGATTTAACTCTTAAATGACAGTGAATTGAGCAGTGAAATTGCAGGGGATGATCTATACACTAAAACTGCTTTATTTAGCTGAAGTAATTTAGGTGACTATAGTGTTCCTTTAACCATCTGTATCATTTTACTCCTGCAAAGCAAATGGTCTGACCCTTACCTTCTGATGGAACTCCGTGTCACTTAAGCTAATGCATTGTAGAAAAGATCTTTTCAGTGAACTGTAAGTTAAGGTTAATCTTGATGTGCTTATTCCATCTGTAAACGAAGCCATAATAAAAAGCATAATGCTATGCATGCAATTATATTCCCTGTTCCAGTTTATTTAGTGTATATTTATTTTAACTTCTTTATTTTTCAGTTAATCATACCATCTCAGAAGAAGCTAGAATGTCATCATGACCAACCGACAGCCATCAGTGTCCAGACTGCTGAAATGATAGCCAGTAACACAAGGCAGTCCCCAAACTGCCGTCGCTCAGATTTAGAAGCCATATTTCAAGACTTTAAAGAGTATGATTTTTTTTCTAAAACATTCACTACTTTTCCACGATCACGTGACAGCTTTGATCTTTTGCATCCAATATTTCAGAGACATGCTTTTGAGCAGGACACTCAAATGCACGACATCTACAAAGGCTATGTGACTCCAAAACTGAACAGCAATGCACTAAAAACCTCAGCTGCTAAAGACATTTGGGCCGTACATTTCACCCAGTTTTGGATTGATTATGAAGGAATAAAAAGTGGAAAAGGAAGACCGGTTGGGTTTGTCGATGCATTTCCATTTTCTGTTTGGATCTGCCAACCAGCACGTTTTTTGCAATCTCAGAAGCAGATGCTAGCAGGCAAAGAGAAGTCCGGTGGCATTTCTAAAAGTGAATCAACCGACTTTGCTGGGAGATTGCAGCGTAAGCACCTTCTGAAACAATATTATAGCACAGAGACAGATAGTTTCAATACTTCTTTGCAGAAATCTCAGTCCCTAGACAGCAGTTTAGGATCCCCTCGTGCCCAAGCATCTACTGATGCTGACATTCATGTTCTCGCCCACATGCAAAAACATGTTAGCATGCAAATTAATCACTACCAGTATGTTTTTTTGCTCTTGTTGCAAGAATCTCTAAAGGAATTGATGGACAATGTTAAGAAAGATGTGGAAGCTGTGACTGGAAAGCCAGCAGAAGAAACCAAGGTTTCGATAGGTGTGCTGCTCAAAAGTGCTGAGGTTTCCATGCTGCTACACCCACTTCCAGAGGAAAACCTACCCAAATCTCCCCCATCAAATGAAGAAAACCATATTGAAGACACTAAACCTACATCACCATCAAAAGACTCAATCAGTGATAATCTAATAATCAATGATGTTGATTTAACAAACATTAATTTAATCACACTGGATGAAAATGTTCTTGAGAAACCAGATCACAAGCAGATAATTTTGTCCAATTCAGATACTTTGATTTCTAAATCATCCAGCGACACTGAACTCCTGACAAGGATTTCCAGTTTGGAAGCTACCTCTGATAGATCTTCATTAAAGGAAGACACTAATGGTCCCTCATACCAGCAGGCTATCTCAGACAGTCTTAAAGAAAGCAGCCGTATGAGCAGCGATGACAGTATTTCCTGTCCGTTCAGTCTTCTTGAAGAAAATCACATTAATAGCCAGAAACTTGACAAAGGGTTAAAAGACGATCCCCTTCTCAATCCACCAGAGCTGGAGATTGAGAAGAAACCGGTATCGCTTGAAGTAAGGTAAGACATTGGTTACTTGCTGTATGGCTGAAAAACCACATGCCTCGTGTTACACGACTAATTTAATGTTGCAACAGTTGAAATGCTCCAGCACCATCTAGTGGAGAGACAAATGTTTTCAATTATGAGTTAAAATGTATCAGGATTGTTGTTGATGTTATCAACTACAATGATTTATACAGTTCCAACATATTCTGCAAACCTGTACAAAGATCAACCAAGACAAATCATTCCAACAAAGCACATTTGACATAGAAGAACATTGGAAGAATACAAACAAACTTACAACCACTTCAGAATAGACAGTTGTTTAAGTTCTGAAAAGCTGGGCACATGATGAGATCATATAGTTAAAGGATTTAGAGGACATATCCATGTTAAGTAGACAGGGGCATTGCTTTTCCTCTAATAACCTTATTGGGGGATATTTGTTAAAGTGACAGTTGAAATCTTTAAAGTGATCTAAAAATTCACAATTTTCTTAATTGTAAATTCTGCCAGTTTTCACAGAAATTCCAATTCAGAAGACCACTAAATTTACACTGGCAGTTACAATTTCTGATAGAAAAGCAGGGGACAACATTTTTTTTGAACTCTCCAGTAACGTTGTGTACATTCAAAAATGACAGGTTAAAAAAAAAAAAAAAACAGATGAAAGAAATCCCCCAGATTTAATCAAATTTGCCAGAAAATTACACGGAAAAAGTGTCAGCCACACTTTGATAAATCTCATTTGTAACCATGGTTGACTACATAATGATTTGTGGTTAATTGATATCATTTAAGTCACAGTAGCTGAACTGAAAGAATTGATAATTCATATTCTTTTGTTGTTGAACGATGTTTCCCTAAAATGTGCAATTGCTATGTCAGTTTACTTTAGTGAATACATCCCTTAGCCACACATTTGACATAATTATTTAAAAAAAATATATATATATATATTCCTTGCATTGATATTGTGCCATTACATGTCTGCTTCATCTCTGCTTAAAAACAATTATAAATGTGTTTATATATATTTTAATTGAGTTCAATATATGCAAGCATAAGTTTATTAAAAGTGCTTAAAAAACACTAATGCTACACTAAGAACTTTTAATAAAAACTTTTATAATAATTTTTAAATAATATATCTTCACATATATTGAACAACATGGCAATCATGCATACTTTCTGAGGTAGGTGGCATATTATCCCCAGCCAGTGTAAAGCGTGCAGGCTGACCCAGTCACGCACTGCTAACCATGAAGACTGGGTTTTGCATGTTGTCAGTAAAAAGAGCTCGAACCTCAACCCTTTACATTTATGAACAACGTTCTCTGTGTCATTCATTGCTGGAGCCGGACAGGCTGTCCCTGAACTTGCTTTTGCGGATTGACAGCTCATGGTGTCTATTAAATTAGAGGAGTCTTTCTCGGTGTCTCTTGCTTCGTAGACAAGAAAAAAGTTTGTTTGAACTGTATGTTTTTCTTGTATTTTATGAATTATGAATTCCTGTTTTCTTGTATTTTTTTTGTTAAGTGGAGCATCTAAGGAACGTTTCCCATCCAACCAGGCATCTTTCTCTGTGTCTTACAAGAACATGAAGAGAAGTCCATCACAATTCTCACTGGATAATATCTCCATTGATAGCAATTTGTTGGATGATCAGCTGACTGAGAGTGATGGGAGTGACCATCTAGAAGTTGGTAAGGATTTCTTTCACCTAATTTGGGAAAAGGTGGATTACAACGTATATCTCACCTTAAGATGTAACTAGATGTAATTTTCAAAATGTTAGCCTTAACAAGGATCTGATAAGGCCTCTGTGGGTAAGGACAATTGACTGTAAGACACCCCCTTCCCAGGCTACTATAATTTCTGACTTCTTCTTTATATATTATTTCTTATGCCTTTCTTACAATTTTATTTACCATCAGATTATTTTCTGACCTTGGATTATTCTTATCCATCAATGTCTTTACTTAAGGTTCATGTTAAAAGCAAAAGTTTGTGTGTTCTACTTATCGATAGTATTGATACATTAACCAATTTATTGTGAGTATTTGCGTAGGGCCTGTAAATGGGCAAACCATTGAGGGTGCATTAAAATGTCCTAAGCAGAGGTTCAGAACCATTTGTATAGAGGAAAAGTTGCATAACAGTGAAACACAATACTTGAAAATTATATAATTGTGGGTTTTGGGAGAAATCCTTTGCATTAGCATTCTATCTTTTTTTTAATAAATTTCTATTTAAAAAAAAAAAAAAAAGTTTGACATACAAGCTACTACACCCGGACACGTCCCATTTGTACTCACATGGATACAAACATTATTGTGAATACACATCCCCCATGAAGAAAGAAATGCTCTCAGACACATCATCAGATGATGCTTCTGTAACTTAGCAAATAAAGCCGTGCCTAGCTGCCCATCAATTCTCAAAGCATACAGACCAATAGGAAGTGCTCGGAACAGACAGGAGCTACTGCCTGCAGCTGAAGAGCTGTCTCAACCTGCCAGCTGATATGTCAATTTGGACATGGACAGACATGGGCGAGGAAATGAGAGGATCTCTGTGAACAACCATGCAGAAAATCCTCATAACACAGTTGCTGTAGGGTTTCAAAATCTCATAATTCATATGTGTGTCACCATCCCTGTTTCTTGTGGGAAATAATTTCTGTTATAGAGTTATATGTTATATGCTTTCTAAATTAACACAGACTGTGTATTCTAAAGAATCTGTGTTTTCTTAACATTTTCAGCAGAAGTATCCCTGAATGTGTGGGGGAAAAAAGTCACTTTTCAGCCCATTCGCATATTTCTCATCGCCCTTCAGTGTCCTATCCCAACCTTTTCTAGTTTCTCCTTTTCTGCTTTCTTCCTTTTTTTAAAGGAAAAAGTCTTGCCCTTTCTGTTCTGCTCTTTCTGCTGGTTGTAGATTTTGTCTCTTTCTGCTGGTTGTAGATTTATGTGTATAGGGAGGTTGCGCATAGGTTATGTATGTAGGTTTGTGTGGGAGAGACTGTATGTGGTGATGATGGATATGTATATCTGTGTGTGTATGTTGGAGTGTACTTGTGGGTGTATGTATGTTGTAGAGCCTGTTGTGCGAGGAGCTGTATCTGTGTGCTTATATTTGTGTGTGAGAGGTTGGGTGTGTGGGCTATGTTTTTGTGTCTGTAGAGGCTGCGATTTTAGCCTTCCATCCAATTTTAATTAACTAAGTATATATATATAAGTATATATCCCTCCTAGCTTACGGTTAGGTAGAGAGCTATATCCTCTCTGGTGGGCGGTGTGTATGGTCTGCGCCTCCCGTGAGTACAGATCAGTGTAATTCCAGGCATTTCTTTGTGACTGAGTCAGAGAATTGTCATGGTAACCCAGTTGTGTACCACTTCCTTCATTGGGTGCAGACTGCTCGCTCCTTGAATATAGTGAGGTGGTGCTGGGCTGACAGGGAGATCATTTAATCTCTGTTCTGGCCTGTTTAAATGCATGACACCCTCTCCACATGTACCTTGTCCATGGTGCAAATATCTGAGCGGACATGTGCCATGAGTTTAAAAACATGGATCTAAAAGAAACATTATGATTAACCGCTTATTATGGTAAAATTATGCAGTCGCAGGTTCTGTAGACATTTTAGTAAACCTAGCTGGCCAAAGGTCACATGATTTATCTTCAGATCCCTGGGATTACATTATTCTACCTTAACATGCTACCCCTGCTTTTATATTATTTGACAAATAACCTAATTCCCCGGGTGCAGCATCGCAGAAATCATTCAAACTCAAGAGGCAGCAATTGCACAGAGCACCTGCCTTGCAAAAACTTCTCATTGAGCTGCATTGGGAAGTCTGTGATTGGACAACCACAGAAAGTCTGGGCAGGGCTAGAAGGGGAGGGATTACAAAGGCTGCAGACAAGAGATCTGCAGTTTTTGCAAGCCGCCTTGGTACGCCACTGCATGATATGTATATTGTGGTGTAATTCTACGATATACATGTCACTCCTGCTGTTTAGAGCTTCAGTTTACATATTCAGTTTAATTTTTCTATCATAATATAAAGATCTATACTAAAATCACTGCTACAGAGGACATCTACTTCCCGAAAATAGTGTTCTGATTTTTTGAAATGGAGTAAATCTTATGTTGAATTCTTTTCTCTGTTGCAGATTTCATAATTCATATTCAATATACACAACTAACAGCAATTATGCTGATGATGATTCAATGATAGACAATTTGATTTTAATGGCGAACAAAAAGCCTATTATCCCATCTAATCCATCTGTCTATAAAACACAGGTTTCTTTTTGATTTTGTTTCATGATCCTGAGACCAGAGTTGCTGTCTCAAGCATCCTTGAACTCTACTACTGAATTTGTTTGTTTGGAGTGTTATTACATGCATCTGCAACCTTTTCCATTAAAAAAAAACAAAAGAAAACAAAAAAAAAAACAGTTACATAAAATGTTCCTCTCTCCAACTTCAGGCTACAATGTCTTGCTATATTCAGACCTTGTTAACCTGTTGAACTTCAATGTTGAGGATATAGCTATTCTTTAATGCACATGTGACGCAAGTCTGAACCATGGCAATATCAAGTGTCTTGCTGAGAAACACAATTACTGAATTATAAATATATGGACATAAGGAGAATTCTAGGCACATACACACTCTTTATATTAATGAATCTTCTGCCCCCTTGCCACACCACCCTTGTCAAGTCCTATCTAAAATCTTCAGTCTCTATTTCTCTGTTTTCTTGTCTTATCAACTTCACTCATACTTGCAGTTGTTATTGTCATGTTAGTAATCATTTCCTCCTCTATTACTTGTTTCTTTTTTCCTAACAATTAATCAATGACCTTAAATATTTGTTTTGTTTGACTAATTTTGCTTGACTTGCCTGATTTGTTTTACTCTGTGAATCTCTTGTTTCTTCTTGATCTCCAAAACCTTGTATTTATTAAACCATTTTTTCTGGTTCTCAATTTACATATCCTATTTCAACAGTGTATTTTCTTTCATTTATCCCCTTAAGGTCCAAACTTCTGGAATAAAAGGGAATCATGACATGTCACACATGTCGTGTCCTTAAGGGGATACGCTACTTTTTTTTTTGGCGTCCCTACTTTGTCAGTCTGTCTCGTGGTCAGTGGTGAAGCTCAGACTTGCTGTGCTAATGGCTTGGCTTTATATTTGGCTCTGCCCTTTTATTTGCCAAAACAAGTCGACTTCCAAATCCGGTTCGTTTAGAAGTAAAACTAAAATATATTCACCCGAAAAGTCCAAGTAGTGCTCCATTTCTTGCAGTATTGGCTCCCATTTTGGTTGCTGCTACACACACTAATCGGCAATTTGATACATGTCCATTTCTTCTTATTTCAGACAGTAATAAATGTTAACACTTTTCTAATGCCTAAACCCTGTGTTTTTTAGGTTTCAATTTAAAATCCTGGTTCTCTCCTACATACCTTTCAATAACTATACATCAAACGAAATATCCTCTGTCATTGACGAGTGCAGTTTCTCAGCCTTTTTCCATTAAAATATTTCAAAATATTTTTGCTATCTTATCATGCTCCTTTTTTGTTAATGAGAGACAGGAGTTCACTGGATATTTACTGCCCTCCAGTTGAATGAAGTAGTGATGCCTATATTGGCTTATCTGTTTTAGTCTTTGCCGATGTTACTGCAAATCCTAGGAATTTGCTACAATCAAGGGACTTTTGTCAAATGCATCTCTTTTATACATTGAAAAGTAGTGTTAAATCCATCCTTTAAGTTCTTTGCTGCACTTAATAAAAATCCATTCATATTGTGTGTATTTGTTTCATTTTAGGCCCAGATGATTTTTCCTCCCTGAACTATCAGTCCACTGCAGATAACGGCAGCGCAGAGTTGAAGAATGAAGATAACTATGTGTCTTCACCAGATGCGGTGAGCGCAGTGTATGACAGCACACGGGACACAAGACAAGATCTGGTAATGCTATAACTAAATAATTTTATTATATTATGCATATTCAAAGTGGTTTCTGGCATTGAGTAGCAGCACTCACGGAGTTTAAAAGTTCCAATCTTTATTTATTCATATTAAAAATCATGATCAACGTTTCAGGGGACTTTCTTCAGGATCAATACCATTGATATCTGGATAACCAATCCCCGGCAAACAAGGGACATTTACAGAGTGAGTGCAAGAGATTATATATATACATAATCTATATATCCTGCACTCACGTATAAAGTATACCGCTGCCCGGCGCAAAACCAAGGCTCCAATAGATACAGAATCCAGTAAGGGAGGCTGCTCTCTGGGCTTAAAACTTCAATTTATTATGACAAGTTAAAAATGACGACCCACGTTTCGGTTCCCGCTCGGGACCTTCCTCGAATACAACAAATACAACAGAGAAAAATATATATCTCTATCTATCCAGCCGGGACAGCAGACACAGGGGCAGCGAAGTGCCGCCTGGGGCCTATGGATGGGCCGGCCCTGCAGGTTGTCAATCTTGAAGCCAGCTAGGTTTACACTCTCCTTTTTTTGTTTAAAATTTTGAACCCTGGTCAAAATTCACTAGGTTCAATAAATCATAGTGAATTAATGCCATACATTCTCTTGAAAATGAACTTCTACATTCTGTATTCTCTATATAAAAAAAGTCCCTAGAGTTCTGTTTTTATTTAAGTGTGTTTGTGGGTCTGTATGTAAGTGTGTATGTGTGTGTGTGTGTGTGTGTGTGTATGTATGTGTGTGTGTATATATATATATAATATATATATATATATATATATATATATATATATATATATATATATATATATATATGACAAAATGGAGAAGTAATGTGTGACAAATTAAGTACACCTTGTGATTCAACCGCTTGTAAAACCACCTTTAGCAGCAATAACTTTAGAATGGTTTTCTGCATAACTTTGTCAGTTTCTCACATCGTTGTGAAGGAATTGTGGCCCGCTCTACTTTACAGCATTGCTTCAGTTCATTGAGGTCTGCTGGCATAGGCGTGCGCACGGGGTGTGCCAGGGCACACCCTAATCCCCGCGGCCCACCTATGGATTGAGACCAGCAGGGGAGGTCTCAGGATCTCCCCTGTCGGCTCATGCAGGGGAGGCGCACTCACACAGCACAATAACAGCACCCTAACAAACACACACACACAGCACACTACCAGCACCCTCACACACAGGACACAAACAGCACCCTCACACAGCACACTAACCGCACCCTCACAAACACACACAAACACCCTCACCCACAAAGCACACTACCAGCACCCTCCCATACAGCACCCTCACACCACCCTCACACAGCACACTAACAGCACACACACATACACAGCAGTGTATGTATGTGTATGTGTGTGTGTGTATGTGTATATATATATATATATATATATATATATAATATGTACACGCGGCGTGTGTTTGTGCTTTAGGGTGCACACCCTAATGTAATAGGCTGCGCACGCCTATGTCTGCTGGCATTTGTTTATGCGCAGTTCTCTTAAAGTCCTGCCACAGCATTCTAATCAGAATAAGGTCTGGACTTTGACAGAGCTATTGTGACACCTAGATTATTTTTCATTTTCAGCCTGTTGTAGATTTGCTGGTGTGCTAGAGGTCATTATCGTGTTGCATGACCCAATTGTAGCCAAGCTTTAGCTCTTGAATACTTTGGTATACAGAGGAGTTCATGGGCCGCTCAATGACTGCAAGGTTCCCAGGTCCTAATGTTGCAAAACAAGCTCAAATCATCACTGCTCCACCACCGTGCTTGACAGTTTATATGAGGGGTTTGTGCAAAAATGCGGTTTGGTTTTTGTCAAACCTGGCGCTGTGTATTATGGCTAAACATCTCATCTTGGTCTCGTCTGTCCAAAGGACATTGTCCCAGAAGTCTAGTGGTTTGTTCACACATAATATGCACCAACATTTTTTTAAAGAAACCAGCGCTTATAAATTCAATCTATAATAGACCATATGGAAACAAATTTTTTTTTAAATACAGCTGCTAAAACATTCCAATGACCCCTTCAAATGTCACACACAAAAAACAGTACAAAATATATGAATGTAGCGCTTATTAAAAAGAAATAGAAATAGTAAGTCACCTTTTGAAATGGCTTAAAGGAAGATAATTTGAATGTTAGATATCTGTGAAAGACAATTTAACAGTGCAAATCATATAATAAAATTAGTATAAATGAACTGCTAATATTTAAACTCACAGACATGGAGCTGTGGGCCCAGCTCCAGGTTAAAGCGTCTTTGGATCCGTTTGGCGATCCACCCCTATTATAGATGTCTTTCTCTTTTGCTCTATAAAACACAATAAGGGGTACCACCAATTGCGCAGTATCGTTTAAATATATGAAATATGCAAATATAAAATTCCGAGAGTCAATACTCACAATGATGGAGTCATAGAAATATGACTCAATATACCAGCATTGTGCAGATCAAGGACTGCACTCCTTCTTTAATGGGAAGTAAAAACTGGAACCAATTTCATATAAAAGATAAAAATAACAATTTATTCACTATACATACAAAATCGGAGTTGAGGCCATAAGGGATTAGAGTGTTCAGTTTGTAAATCCACTCCATCTCTCGTTTCCCCAAATCTTTTATAAAATCCCCACCTCTCCAATTTTTCCGTACCTTATCTATACCACAAAAAGTTAAACCCTCTGGTCGTGATGTAGTTTAAAATGACTAGACACACTGTGTTGTTCGTAACCTATTTGTATTTTATATATATGTTCCCTGATTCTGACATGTAAAGGTCTAGTTGTTCTCCCCACATAATTCAACCCACATGGACAAGTAAGGAGATAGATCACATTTTTAGAGTAACAGGTTATAAATTGTTTTATTTGGGTTTTAACTGTTTAACTGCTCCATTTAGGTCAATATTTCCAATTTTTCTCCGAATACACCCTGACTTCTTACATGCCGTACATTGTCCACAACCAAAGAAACCTTTCTCATTGTTAAATATAGTGGGGGAAGTTTTAATTTCCTTCAATGAACTTTTTACTAAGGTGTTCTTAAAGTTTTTAGCACCTCTATATACCATTCTAGGGTTAATGGAAAGGATTTGTTTCAAAACAGGATCTTGTAGTAATATTGGCCAATACTTTCTGATAATTTGGTTGATTTGATAATTATGAGAATTGTAATTGCAAACAAATGGTACAATTTGTCCGTCTGTGGTTGATTTATTCTTATAAGGTAGCAGTTCTTTTCTCTCTCTATTCTTCACTTCATTTCTTGAATTCTCTAGCTTATGGGTATCATAACCCTTGGCTTATACGTTGAGACTGTTCATCATAGACACTAAGATCACTACAATTGCGTCTGATCCTTAAAAACTGCCCCTTCGTTGCGTTCTCTAACCAGGGGAAATGGTGGCAACTTGCCCTCTCTTTAAAGCTGTTACAGTCTACTTTTTAAAAATGATTCCTCGTTTTGATGTTTCCTTCTTCCACAAAAATATCCAAGTCTAAGAATGTAACCAAATTTTTACTCCATATACTACTGAGTTTAATGCCCCATTTAACATGCTGTCATTTAACATGCTTACTGAGGCATGTTGCATCTGAGATTTAAGTCTTGGGCTTTTTGCAATTTCTCTGAGCATTTCTTGGTCAGACCTTGGGGTGAATTTGCTTGAATTTCCACTCGTGGGATGATGGTGTCTTTCCTCCTTGGCATTGTGTTAACATTTTGGTAGATACTTACCACTGCATACCCAACAATACTTGTTTCATTGGAGATGCTCTGACCCAGTTGTCTAGCCATCATTATTTGGCCCTTGTCAAAGTCACTTTTTGCTTGTCCCTTTTTCCTGCTTCTGACACCTGAAATTCAAGAACTGACTTAATTTGCTACCTCATATTTTACAATCCTCTGGGAATGTGCTATTGTAGCAATATAATCCATGTTATTCACTTCACCTATTAATGGTTTAATGTTGTGGCTGATCAGTGTGTGTATGTGTCTGTGTGTCTGTGTGTCTGTCTGTCTCTATCTATCTATCTATCTATCTATCGTGTTTTAAAAGCTGTTGAATACCGCAGACATATACTCCAAGGAATCTGTGTATATAGTGGAATAAATGAGGCAAAAAAGTGGTTCTTTGTTGAACTAATTTGCAGATGCCCACACAGAATCCCTTGCAGTAGTAACAGCTCTGCAAATAAGATTTCTGTGGGAAAAGCAAGCCTTGTGGCTTGTTTGATGTGTGCATTTCTATGTTTAACAATATATTTACTATATGTTTGTCTCTGTTTAGCTCTATCACGCTCCTAAAGAGAGGAGACTGAAGTGTCTCTCTGCCTACCTCCCCCCACTTTTGTCTCCCCATGGCCTTTCTTTTTTCCCTATCCACCTCCCCATCTTTCTCACCACCAGCCCACTTCTTCTCTTCATATTCCCTTTTGCCCTTTCTTGGTTTGGTTGAAGCCCCAAATGCAGAGAAAGTGAGTTGTGCCAGTAAATATTCTCAGTCCGGCATCCTTGGGGTTTAGTTTGGTTCTGTGTGGAGGGGGTTGGGATATAGCAAACATAATTTCCCTGCTCTTTATTTTGGCTGTATACAGAGTCTGTTGCCAAAAGGCAACATTTTGGTAAAATATGTGCTTTCATAGGCATTACTGTGTGCCTACTGCTTGACATATTTTTTTATGTATGTATTTATTAGTTTATATCTTGGATATACCTAAATATATTCATAGATGGCAATGTAAAAGAAAACAAAAAACCCGGGGGCGTTGTCAGCAGCCGAACAGAGCAGACTTGCTACAAGGGAGCTCGACAGCAACAAGCCTGTAAAAGCAATATAAAACGCTCCTTTTGCAGCAGAATAAGCACCAATAGAATGGGGAAGAAATCCAGATGCCAAGGACCCGTCGGGATCCCGGGATATTGAAGATCTTCTACTCTGGCCTTCCAGGGCCTCTGACACCTTTGCGCCAAAGAAAATGGCAACTCCCTCTTGGCCTACTCCGAAGAATGGGTTATGGACGTGCTAGATGAGATCCCAGATGCAGGGGGGTTTCATAACCCCATCTCCGATGAAGACGTGTTGCCATCTACCAAAGGCGACATTAAGGTGTTTCTCCGCAACGTCCGACTGCTATTTGCGGCAGATATGCGAGAAGAAATACATACTGTGGTGGGACGCGTAAAGGCAGTAGAGGCAGATACACAGGACCTCAGTTCAAGATGCCTAACAATGGAATCCCTGACAGCAGAGCTCCAAAAGGCCCAAGCACAACTTACCACTCGCATGGACACCATGGAAGACAGGCACCGAAATGTTAAAATTAGGGCATCCCTTAGTTGATCAATGCTGAGGAGTTACCCCACTACACCAGGAGGCTGCTGAGTACTATACTCAACCCCAGACAGGCCAAGAAAGCCATGGTAGATGGGATATTACGCATACCAGCGATCTCACCAAGGGATGTTATAATCCAGTTCCAGTGACAACCTACCTGCTCCTTTGAAATTTCTCACCTATTGTTTTTCCAAGATCTATCCAGACCATTACTATGGAGAAGCCAGTGTAAATCTCTGACCTCTACACTTCGTAACCACTTAATTCCATACCGCTGGGTCTTCCCCAGAAGCCTGGTCATATTGCATGGAGGGAAAAGCTTAAGAATTATCACCACCGCAGAAACGGAGGCATTGCTCTTGACCTTGGGACTATCGCAACATCTGGAAGCGGAGGCACCAGCTCCCGGTCGGAGAGCACTACATAACTGGGACATATCTAAAATTGTGCCGTTCCAGCCATCTGGGACTCCCAATGTGGAGGCAACAGCTCCTGGTCGGAGAGCTCTACATAACTGGGACATATCTAAAATTGTGCCGTTCCAGCCATCTGGGCCCCTTCGCCGCAAATTCAACCTCCACTAGTCCAACGAGAAAGAAGCAGCGCAAGCTAGGCTCCCGAGGAACTGACGGGGACTCATACACCCCTAGCCGACAGGACTGTTCTCCTTATCTTCATTCTCCCTAACCGGGAACAGCGTTTTAAGTTTATCAGTTGAGCATTAGGTACAATGTAGCCTAAAACAATACATTGGCCCCAGACATTCCTAGCTACAACCAGGTGAGGGCTTAGGCATACCTGCATACTACCCCCACACCACCTCCAAGCCACGTTAAAACCATCAGTACAATATTAACCCTTAAATGGATATCTCTGTTAGCACATTTTTACTATACTTTAATTTTTCTTTTATATTTTTTAAATGTAAGCAGGTTTGTCTCTCTGAGAGTGCCACGGGTAAAAGAGCAACATGATAGAAGGGTGAAGGTATTCCACAACCACTGCACTGCACAACTCCTGTACCTATTTACTACTGACAAACCACAAACCCCTCCCCCCCAAGCTCTGGGTTACAGAGCATCCCACCCAACTTACATGATAGCAACTGAGTCAGTTTAACTCCAGAGGTTTGGTATAGCATTTTTCAGCCTGTTTGATTATATTTATGAATAGTGATTCTTGCATAAGTCTATGTACATATGTTATTCACAACTCGTATTACATTAAAAAGGGGGGGGGCTCTTTCCAGCTGGTCTGTGTGCACCTTGCAGAATTATGCACAACTGTCGATTAAGGCAAGTATATGCAGCAGGCAGAAGTACAAACGTATCTCACAAATTTTTTGTTTAATACATACTCAAATGTGCTGTGTAGTATGCACATTATGTCATGTGTTGCACTGAATTAGCATAGATTTGATCACATCTAATTAAATCGTATCTCTATCTAAGCAAAAGATCAAAGTAAACTATGTGGAACCAAACCACTATAAGTAAGCCCAGTGTTTTTATCTTTATCTATGTTTTTGTTAGACATTTCATTAGATGCCCTAACTGAATTTCTCTGTGAGCTCCCAGACTTCTTTAGAAAACATGGCTCTTGGATTATATCATTGTTAATATGTAAAGTTTGCTTAGCCGTTTTTTTTTGCACAGTACAGAGAACTGTAGGCTGTTTGCTGTTTATGAAATATATTAATGTAATGATGATACATGTAATTGGTTTTCTTAAAATATAAAGGAACTTTTAATTTCTTTCAAAGATCACTCCAAGCTTCATGACCGCTTCACTGGTTTTTAGTGATCATGGTGCCTAGAGTCTATATGTGTGCAGCGTTTTGCTATGAAGCTACCTAAGGTGGAACTTTCTGTCCATGTACTCCCAAATGCCAGGCCTCCCTCCCCATCCCCTCTGGCAAAGGGGAGTGACGTCTACAGAGAAAGAACGGTCTAGGGAGAACTTAGCTTCAAACTAACATTTGTGAAATCCGTAAATGGCACACCTTGTGGTTTATTCACTAATCACGAAATTGCAATGAATAGAAAACATAATTGCAAAATTTAGGCGGCAGCACTGTTTGATTTGGCAAAATTCTCAATCTTGGCTATAGTTATAGTTTGAGTATTTTAGCCTGCTATAAATTGAGTTTTCAGTTCACTTTTCCTACATTTAATTAACATATGTTTTTATTTTTTTCTTTGCAGATGTCTGTAGTAGTATTCAAAATACTTGGTGTGAATTGTGGAATCGATATCAGAGGAGAAGATGCAATCATTTGCCTACAGGTTAATCAAGTAGTTCCAAACCAGCTTGGGAATGTTGGTGTTTGGCAATACCTTAACAGCCGCAGCATGAGTAAGGGAAATTAAGATACCATGACTTTATTTTTATGCATTGTAGTAAAATGTAAATGTCAGGTGTTCCCAAAGAACGCCCAGTTGTCCAATAAAATTGTGCAAGGAGAGGACAGAAAATGCTCAGGAAAGTGTATTCACTTCTCTTTTTTTCTGCCACTCTACATTTAGCGACCTTCTTTAATGAATATTTCTGAGAAAAATGGCAGAATTTTCTATGATGAAAACTGTATTCGTACATGTCCTCAAAATAATGGCACAATTTAACTATCACTTTCTCAGAACACATTGATAAATACACCCCTTAGTTTGCATACCAAGAAGTTCACAGACTCTGAAATAGTTTCTTAACTATATTGTATCCTTTTGTAACGTGATCAGCTTATATTTTATATATCCAGATACATTAACATCTGTTTTATCACTGCCTGTCTTTAAATTAAACTCTGTTTCCAGGGGGGTGGGGGGCTTTTAAACACAGACTTCAGTGGATTAGAAGTAGAAAACATATTGGCAGCCATCTGTCAAGTGGTGTCTGGCTTATCGCTTTACAAATCAGAGTAGCATACTGGATATATTACTGAATGGATGTGTATACATAGTACCGGTAACATGTATTTATCTGCTTCTCCCTTGGTTAAGTTAGAGAACATGCCCTAAACCCATCGAGAGTTGGCTTGGAGAGAAAAACCTTTTAGAAATCTATTATTATTCTTATAAATGAGCAGAGAAAAGAATGGTTTCATTTAATACTTCATTTGTTTTGTTTTGGGGTTTTAAGTATTTTTAAAATTTATTTATTATATTTTTCCTCGTTTCACAAAAATCATCAATATATTCATTGATAGATACATGCGCAAATAGAGATACAGCTGCAAATGCATAATTCCTTTTATCTTTATGCAATCACTATTATATCAATCATATTCTGTAGTTGTGGCTGCTATGTGCTTTGATGTTTCCTTACAATTCTCCACTCCTCATAATTGCAACATTGTTTTCCATTTTCTTTTTCTCCATTTTTGAAATCTCCTTTTTGATCTCATCAGGTGTTGAAAATACAGCCAACAGCTTTTTAATAGTACAAGCCACACTCTTTTGTGTAGTCACCTTTATATTTAAACAATTAAGTCATACTAATTAGTTAGGGAAACCAAATTGATGGCAGACCATAAACCTAATAATAAAATAAGATTTTTCTTTTCTTTTTTTTATTCTTTTGATTTTTTTTCTTAGCACATTCCAAAAATGAGCTGTGTCACAATACTTTAAAAAGAGCCACATAAAGGTTTCCCACCCATATCTTCCCATTGTTTGGCTATATTTTTCATTTACTTCTGTTATGAACAGTCTGTAATATTATTTAGCATAAAATATCAATGTAATACCTACCGCTGTGTGGCATTCACAAAAACAAATTATAAACTCATTTGTGCACTGAATATCCTGTATTATTTTATTCATAAGCATAAATATAACACAAGAGAATCCCAGAGATTGCACTTCCACTTCTGTAAATATGTTAATGGAATAATGATGATAAAAAATTATTTTTACCATTTTCAATAAAATTCAGGGATTGTATCTCTCTTTCACCCTATTCCCAGATAGCCTATCTCTCTTTCCCTTTGGAAGTAGGAAACAAGCAGGTATGGAATTTATGGAGCAAGAGGCGTTTGTTCCAATTTTTTTTTTTTGAGTTCCATTTATGAAGGAAATCCAAAAATTATATTTACAGAAGTGTCTCCTCTTTTCCCATCTACAGGCTCCGAAAATAAATTAATGATAGATCAGAGAAAGTCTAGTCCAGAAATCAGCTTGCGTCTGGAAACAGGTCCAAGTTGTAAAAAGTATTCTCCACTAGCTGCTGAAAATGGGTTTCTGCAATGCCAGGTGACAAATTTTAGCTCAGAATTCCTCACGTCTACACTTGCCAACATCCGCCATTTTGTGGAAGATGACTCTGTTGCAGAAGTGATGCCTATGAAAATCCAAATTCAGAATACGAGGGTGCATTTAAAGGTATCAATAATAGATAACATTAAAAGCAATGTAGTTGCCATGTTGGTACTCCGTTTTTGTGAAAATTAAATAAATTATCTAAATCCAAAACATCATTGGATACTTGGAGAAGGGGGACAAAGAATACCTAAGTCTTTATTAACATGAGAAGTCCTTAGAAGCACATAAAAACATATTGTAGGTATCATGAAGGGTTTGTTGTAATGAGCAAAACACAAAGTAGAACTGTATGCGTTGCTTTGTATTCCATTACCTTAAAAGAATACTTTAATGTTTATCCAATACAATTTATCCAGTGCCTTTCCAGTCCCAATGCTGCAGCTGCTTCTTCTGCTGTCGAATTATCCAGACCACTGATTTCTCGCCAATGCAATGTTTGTCACAGACAAACATTAGGCCTTGGTGAGCAAGCGCGTCAACCATTTCTCTCAGTCAATCAATTGCTTCTCATGGAAACATTGAATCCCATTAGAAGCATTTTAAACATTTATCGTGTTGTGCAAACTTGAAGACCTCTACAGTAAACTGTAGTGAGTTTGGTGCTTAGCATGTCCCTTTAAGAAATGTAAAATGTATAAATTACATTCTTTGGCAAGTGCTGTTTTCAGAGTATGTGATATTTCCTGTTTTAGTATATAGATATGTGTAGGTGATGTAATGACAGTGGCATTATTTCTCTAGATCACAGAAGACAGGGGTTATCAGCTCTTAAAAGCGTAAATGTTGTAATATTAGTGTTTCATATGCACTCTCTTGATTCTCTGTTATGGTACACTATATGTGGTTATACGTTTTCAAGTTTTTTCATGCATAAGGAGATGTGAACAAGATCTTTGGCACTATAGGTATATGTATTGATTCTGTTTTAATCACACCTTTTTTAACAGTGCTTAATTTGAGGATCCCCTGTGTGGTGATGATTGTTTGTGCCTTGAACTGTACAGGTTTATCAGCCATCATTGCCCTGGGGTATGTTGTCATGGTGGGGAGTCAGTGCTGGCTGATCTCTATTTCTTGCAGCCCTTTATGTTAATGGATCGCGCACATGGCTGGCGTGCGGCGACCATCTTGAAGGGTGCTGCCCGGCTAGTGTTCCGCGACAGGGCTGTCGTTTGGGCCCCGATCAGCGTTGCAGTGTATGCCCATGGAGGCCGGTCCAGAGGGGGAGGGAGGGTATGCGAGACGCCGGTCGTAGACCCTGTAGGGCGGCCGTCCTATCCCAGCTCAAGCTCTGGCGTGCTTCGGGCCCTGTCTGGTCCCGCTGGATGCCATGCAGGGTCTTGAAATGTGTCCCTGTGTTTCCCAGTAGCTGGAGGTCACCGTGGGCACCAATATGAGTCAGTGGTTGCTTTTGGCTCCAAGGTAATGCCGGTTTCTGGGCCCTGAAGCAGGAGCTTAGACGGCGCACGTCTGATCCTGTTGATGGTCGAGCCCCGCACCCCCCAATGGCTATTTTGATGGGATGTAATATTAAATTACATATGCATGAAGATAGATTTTTTTTTCATATTCTGCAGTATTTTATTAGGGTTACATACATGTATTTCAATGAATGTCAGAAGAAAAATTCTCTAAATCTGTGCTCCTGATTGCGTATCTAGTCCAGCATCTAGAACTGAAGTAAAAGGATTGGAATTGCACAAAGCTTTCAGCTGTACAATTGTATTTTCTCTTCTAAGAGGGTGTTTATATCACAAATATTGGAAAAAAATGTACTGTAACTCTGGGCAATAAATGCATTCCTTCCAATAAGATGTCTAATATCTCTTGTGCCCAGAGGATACACAGATCTATAAATGGCTATATTTTCTATGAAACGAAAAGTAACAAAGAGCTGTGTGAATTACCACTTCCATAATAGTTTGCAAACTACAACTATGCAGTATTTTCTAATATATATATATATATATATATATATATATATATTTTGGAAACTAGTGAAAGGCCTTTATTTTTGAAAAATCTTACATTGCAGGTATATTCTGGTTTAATAATTGTTAATGGATTTCTTTTTTTCTGTAGGATGACAGTCCTCGAAATAATAACACTGATCCAGAGCCGGACCCCATAATTCTTAACATTGAGAACCTTTTTGTAGAAAGAAGTGATGACGGATCTTTCAATATAAAAGGTATGCTAGGATTGTCATCCCAATCTTTCTTCAGTGTTTAAAAGCAGAGATGTGAGAACTGTAATGTCAGCATTAAATAAACTGTAAGATTTAGTGTGTAAATCACAGTAGTGAAATCACCAGGAAATGTATATTCAGTTTTGTACTTGCTTTTAGCTGGTCTTCAAGCATTTGCTATGTGTGTCTTGTGAACAGGTTGCCTGGTCCCTGACTTTGGATCCAGACATGAAGCTGTTACTGCGTCCATCCCTTCTCCATGTCACCATGGCCCTTCAGGAGCTATCAGAACGTTCTGGTACCTTACGCTCCTTTAGTGATAACGCCCAACCTTTAACCAAGTACTGGATAAAGTGATGAACCGCTCCTTCCACCGTGTACCCAAACAAAACACAAGACTTACTTTAGGGAGAAGACAACTTGAACAATAGACTTAATATTTCTAGAGTAAAAGTTGTTACACAAAGGAGTGACAAACATGTAAAACAGTGTGGGGCCTTGTGGGGGATCAATCACAGTGCTGAGCACATACACATCCTTGGTGCTAGTATATCTGTGCTAAGCCGAACTAAAGTGGAAAGGGAGCAAGTGTTTATGTGCGGTTTGTTCTATACAGATTACTGGGACTTATAGATTTATTTCATATGAATATTTTAGATGAAAGGAACACTATAGCTTTAAGAATACAAACCTATATTTCTATCGCTATAGTGTTGTTGTGGCCAAGGCTTAAATATGAATATTAATCTGCTAATTTAACTTAAGTAACAACATTAATATAGATGTTCAGTGGGCATAAATGGAACATAGGCAAAATATCATGCATGGAGTAGACATCAACTGTAACAACACTGTGTATAGCGGACAAAGCAAGCAGCCTTACAGACCTATAGTTTAAATAAAATAACTGGAACACCAAACATTTATGTCTTTGAAAAATAAATGCAGTTCTGACCCCGTGTGAACCCTTGTTAAACAGACACAACAAAGCATGTCCTAACAAAAAGGAGAAAGCACCAAACTAGGGAGGGTGTGGGTAGATGAAGCCCATGGAGTACACGTCATCCAGGGAACACTAAGATGGCGCTTATGAGATGGATCCAGACAAGAGATAGAGGTAAAAAAAGATGGAATGGGGGACCTAGTGACAGAACTAATGTGGCCATGACAGTGCCACTTTAAGGGAATTCTTGTCTAAACAAAGTTGTATTCCTAGCCCTTTAGCACCCCCTGCCCCCAAGTGTAAGGAATAATAAACCCTTACTGTACTTCACCTATTTCAGCATCGATGTCCTTTGGCGCTGGGTCAGCGATTCGCCTCTCCTAACAGAGGAGCACTAATGAGCATGCGCAGTGAACATTGCAAGCGCATTAGCCCCTCCCTGTAGGAAAGCATTGCTGCAATTCTTATGTGGGTTTGATTGATGCTGGATGCCCTCATGCAGAGTGTGAGGACATCCAGCGCCAGGCGATCAAAAGTCGCCTAACCACCAGGAAGTGTCTCTAGTGGCTGCCTGATTTATCAGAAACTGCAGTAATTACAATTGCAGGATTAAGGGGATAGGGTCACTACACCTAAACCACTTCAATGAGCTGAAGTGGTCTTGGTGCCTATTGTGTCCCTTTAAGATTAAGAAGAAGAAAAATCTATGTGAGACTCCACTTCAAAATATACTGTACTGCTTTTTACCACTAATCCTTTCCATTTCATGTAACATAACAGTTAAATGTATTCGCAGAAGCCTTAATTCCCCTTTGACTCAATAGGAGCGCATCACTGGCATACTCATGGAGAGGAGAATAATAAGCTCACTGATAATTTCACTGTACCTGGGAGTCTTGGAAAAGACAATAATTTCATGAAATACTCTCAATGTACACTTCAGGGAGCAGTTGTGATGTTTTAAATATATAACTCTTTGTTGTTCACAGTTGGTCACAGCACCCCATGTGATCCCCAAATTAAGCACTGTTAAAAAAGGTGGTGTGATTTAACACAGAATCAATACATATACCTTCAGTGCCAAAGATCTTGATCACATCTCCTTATGTATGAAAAACCTGAAAACGTATAACCACATATAGTGTACTATAACAGAGAATCAAGAGAGTGAAAATGAAACACTAATATTACAACATTTACGCTATTAAGAGCTGATAACCCCTGTCTTCTGTTCATCTGTTTTGTTCACAAGCATCAGAAAGAAAATTATTGGAAATAGGACACTTCATTATGACTAAAAAAAATAGAATGTTGACATTTAAAAAATGTATGTGTGTTTTTTCAAAAAATATATACAAATTCACCTGAAGGGCAAAGCAAAAAAAAAAAAATTAAGGGTGTGCTTTTAAATATTTATATAAAAACATATATACATAGCTGAGGATTTCAAGCCAAGCTCCAAGGAATGTTTTATTTTTTTCTAATACTCCTTGGAGTTTGGCTTGGAATCCTCGGCTATTTGTCTAAAGATTATGTGCTCTTTGGGGGATTTCTTCAAACACTTTGGTGTTTGTGTGTGTTATGTACAATGACCAATAGCTGCATTTGTGTGTCCAATCAAAAACTACTCCTATGTCAATATGTCCGACATGACTGCTTCTGTTTAAGAAATGTTTTGACGTAAATTTTTTTATTTTATTTCAAATAAGGTTTAATGGATCCAAATACTGATGATACAACCAATCACAGAGACTCAAATAGTATTGTTCAAATTAAACACAGCGACACCAAAATCATAAAGGAGAAAATCAATGCTACTAAATGCACACAGACACTTTGTGACAGCACTGGACTCCCAGATGCCTCTGAATTGTACAATAGCACAGACTGGAGAACAGCAGCACTCACTAAGGCAAAGGTATGATGCGTTCATTATTCGGTTCTGTAGCTCCATAGGCTTCCTATGGGTATTAGTGGATCTACTTAAAATTCCTATGGTGTTGATAAAGATGGAGAACAGTGGTAACTGACCAGAAAGTGAAAGGGGAATCCACAGTATGGGGGAGAGTGAAGTGGATAACCGGAAAAAAAACAAGCTGAATTTTATACAGTTGTAATCAAAATAATCCAACCCACCATTGAAAATCTGGTTTATTGTCAAAATTTACAAACTTTCAGCTGTTTTCAATGAACAAATCAAACATGACGATTATTTCGAGTGGTTTCCCCAAATTCAACTGAAAATGCAACTTATAATGACTTCACCAGACTCAAAAGTATTTAATCCCCGGAATTGAGTCCCTTATAACAGCACAAACTTTGCAAAACAGGTGATGTCTCAAGCACACCTGATGCACCTAATCAAGGGCTTTATTAGTTGCCCCTGGTGTGCCTGAGCAGGAAAACTTAAAATACTGAACTGGCTAGTGGTTTATTGCATGTCACGTTTGACTGAATGTTAGAAATATGGCAAGTCAAAAGAATGGTCTACAAAGTTAAGAGACAAGCTCATCGCCCTTCACAAGCAAGGAACAGGATACAAAAAACAGCGAAGGCACTGAATGTTTCACTGTTGAATGACACTGAAGCCCAGTTCGCAAGTTAAAAGTTGAAGAAACAGTGATTACACTACCTGGACGGGGCAGAAAAAGGAACTGATCAGTGGCTGCAACTAGATTTGTGGAAAAACCTTTGAGTGCCTGCAAAACACCTGCAGCAAGACTTGGTAGCAACAGGCACTGGAGTTTCAGTGAGCACAGTAATAAACGCAAAAGGTTTCCATGCCAGAATTCCAAGACGTATACCACTACTGACCGAAAAGCACAAGAAAAGAATCATAGAATGTGATGGCAGATAAGAACCATTCAGCCCATCTAGTCTGCCCAATTTTCTAAATATTTTCATTAGTCTCTTATATGTATAACATCCTTATGTCTATCCCAAGCATGCTTAAACTCCCTCACTATGTTAACCTCTACCACTTTAACTGGAAAGCTATTCCATTCATGCACTACTCTTTCAGTAAATTAATAGTTCCTGATATTATTTTTAAACCTTTGCACCTCTAATTTAAAGGACCACTATAGTGCCAGGAAAACATACTCTTTTTCCTGGCACTATAGTGCCCTGAGGGTGCCCCCATCCTCAGGGACCCCCTCCCGCCCGGCTCTGGAAAGGGGTTAAAACTTACCTTTTTCCAGCGCTGGGCGGGGAGCTCTCTGCCTCCTCTCCTCCTCCGATCCTCCTCCTGGGCTGAATGCGCAGCAAGAGCTGTGCACGCATTCAGCCCGTTTACAATGCTTTCCTATGGACGCTGGCGTGCTCTCACTGTGAAAATCACAGTGAGAAGCACGCAAGTGCCTCTAGTGGCTGTCAATGAGACAGCCACTAGAGGATTAGGGGGAAGGCTTAACCCATTAATAAACATAGCAGTTTCTCTGAAACTGCTATGTTTATTAAAAAATGGGTTAACCCTAGAAGGACCTGGCACCCAGACCACTTCATTAAGCTGAAGTGGTCTGGGTGCCTAGAGTGGTCCTTTAAGGCTATGTCCTCTTGTTGTGGTAGTTTTTCGTCTTTTAAATATACTCTCCTTTACAGTGTTGATTCCCATTATATATTTAAATGTTTCTATCATATCCCCCTTGTCTTTCCTCCAAAGCTATACATGCTAACATCCTTCAACCTCTCATGGTAAGTTTTACCCTGCAATTCATGAAACCGTTTTGTAGCCCTTCTCTGAACTCTCTCCAAAGTATCAATATCCTTCTGTAGATACGGTCTCCAGTACTGCGTACAATACTCCAAGAGAGGTCTCACCAGTGTTCTGTACAATGGCATGAGCACTTCCCTCTTTCTACTGCTAATACCTCTCTTTATACAACCAATAATTCTGCTAGCATTTCATGTTGCTATGTTACATTGTCTGCTTACCTTTAAGTCATCAGAAATAATTACCCCTGAATCCCTTTCCTCAGATGTTGCGGTTAGGGCTGTATAAAATATTCTGTACTCTGTCCTTGGGTTTTTATGCCCAAGTTGCATTATCTTGCACTTATCCACATTAAATGTTAGCTGCCACAACTCTGACCATTTTTCTAGTTTACCTAAATCATTTGCCATTTGGCTTATTCCTTCTGGAACATCAACCCTGATGTAACTTTTTGTATCATCAGCAAGACCTTCGGCAATATCACTAATAAAGTATTGAAGAGAATTGGTACAGATCTCTGAGGTACCCCACTAGTAACAAGACCTTACTTTGAATATACTCCATTGACCGATTCAGCTCCATCACCGAAGCTTGACTGGGGTCTCTCCAGAGCTCTTCCATCCGACCAGGTTGCAGCTCTCTCCTTCCAGGCAGGTAATGTCCCCTTTGCCTATGCCGCTGCAGCTCTCCTTCAAGGCAGGTATTCTAAACACTGCCTGTGATGTGTGTGGCGGAACAGGCCTCACCACGTGTTCTTGGAGGGGGCTGCTTGCCCTCCTCCTACCTTCTGACTATGGCCCTGGGATATATGGCATTTGAAAACACTATTTGTGCCCTGTGACAAAACTGGAGATTGTGCACAAATATGACTACTGTCCATATTTTTTAGGATTCCATTCGTTTGTTTCACTGTTCCCCATGTGTTTCATCTGTTGGTTTGGCTGGATAGACTACCAGACAAACTGTGGAGTTACTGGGTGGCCATTTCGTGTATCAGAGGCACGTGGTGAGAACAATGGATGAAGCACATGGTGAGAACAATGGATGGTGGCCATTTTAACTCACAGACACTATTTTGACTTTTCTACACGGTGCCATCTCGCCGGTATTTGGTGCACAAAGACATTGTTCAGTAGTTTTAAACTACAGAACAGGGGACACATTTACAGTAATAATTTTTCATATAGCCTGTATATGTTCTGCGGAATCTGCATTAAACCATATCTTCCAAACTACTGAATGGATCTGGGTGAATTATGGGTTATTGCATGTTTTGGGGTCCATGTGATATGTTTTATAATACTGTATTTTCCTGCCTGTGATTAAGTTAGTCTATTGTGTTGAGATAATTGTATCACAGGCAGAGGGGAGGATGTCTGATGTAATGAATGGGAGTGTTAGCTGTGTTGTAATGTGTTGATTGGTTGTTCTTCAAAACTCTGTGGGCAGTACTATGTTTGTAGAATGTGAATAAAAGAGGCTGTATGTGCCAGTACAGTCAGTTCTACTTCATCCTCAATTTGGAGTGCCGTCTCTTATTGGGGGAATCTGCTACAAGGGATTGCTATGCTTGTCATACTCCCTTTCTAAATCACTACTAAGCTCTTGTAAGAGCTTGTTCCTGCCTTGCTCTCTGGAGGAGTCTACGGTGGTTATGGTGTCTGCTGCAGTGCTTGGAGTCCTCAGGAAGCGCTAGGAGCATCCTTCAACTGAGGTACTCAGTCGGGGTGCCAGGTGATCCGTTACAATGTGTTAATAGCTATTGCCTTTACAAAGGAAATTGCGGCTCCCAGGCCCAACTCTTTTGATTTATCCCAGGAACCATGCAACCAGCCAACAGGTCCAAAGACTCTGTTATTGGGATCCCTGAACATCCACACAGGACATAGAGTTCCAGTTGGAACGGACAGGACGTAGAGTTCCAATTTGAACGGACAGAACTTGGGACTAGCCCATATATTCATTACATCAACCTTGCTGTGACAAACTCAATAAAATACAATTAACCAAATCATATCAGAAAACATACAGGAATTTATAATAACATGACATATTTATAAATGGCTGGGGAATACAATAACCAACACAAAATATCTCTCCTGTCTGCAGAATTCACAATATGCAAATTAGCAAGCCTTTCTATTCAGATAGTGCATACAGCTGTTGCTAGATCCTTGCAACCAACAGGTGGTGTGTACAGGCTCCACAGCCAAATCCACCTAGTTGATTGCAAGCATTAGCAAGACAGGAGAGAACACGAACATTTAACCCAAAGTAACCACATTACACCCACAATGGACACAGGGTGACTTAAACATCATCCAAAGGAATCATCCAGAGACCTTATTGAATTGTCCATTTTAAGCTCTTGTTGATGGTGACTACTGTCAAAGGCATGATTATGTTGTCTCTGATCTTGAAATCCATATGATTTTAGATGTTCAACAATCCTATCCTTTATTATGGTTTCCATTACATTCTCCACTACTGAAGTAAGGCTTACTGGCCTGTAGTTCCCTGACTCCTCCCTTCTACCTTTCTTGTGAATTGGCACAATATTCGCTAAGTTCCAATCTTCTGGGACTACTCCCATTAACAGTGATTGGTTAAATAAATCAGTCAACGGTATTGCTAGTACACCACTAAGTTCTGTTAATAACTTTAGGTATATCCCATCTGGCCCCATCGATTTATTTGTCTTTATTTTAGACAGTCTGCACCAATATGCTCAAAATCATATAAATAAGCCATATAAGTTTTGGGATTCTGTTCCGTGGAATAATGCAACAAAACGGTAACTTTTTGGCTCAATGGATCAGCGATATGTCTGGAGGAAGAAAAATGAAGCAACAATGAAGCTGAAAAGAACACTCTGCCTATAGTTAAGCATGGTGGTGGCTTGGTAATGCTCTGGGTCTGCTTTGCATCCTCTGGCACTGGAAACCTGCAGCATGTGGAACACAGGATGGATTCTCTGAAGTATTAGGAAATCCTAGAAGAAAACAACCATCCAACAAAACAATGATCATAAGCATACCTCAAATTCCACCATGGCTTGGTTGCAGAATTAGTTTTGGAAATTTCTACAGTGGTGATCAGTCACCTGACGTGAACCCCATAGAAAATCTCTGGTGGGCGGTTGCAGCACGCAAACCCAAGGGTATAACTGAACTGGAGGACATTGTTCTTGAGCAATCTATTAAGATTCCTCAGGAACACCGCCAGAAGTTTCTCGATTGCAGCAGGTCATAAGGATGCTCTACTAAGTACTAAAGATGCTTGCTGTAAAGGGGTTGAATAATTTTGAGACTGGATAAGTGATTATAAGTTGCATTTTCTATTGAATTTGGGGAACCCACTTGAAGTAATCGTTGTGTTGAGCTATTTCAGTTGCTTTTGTTTGATTTGTTAATTGCAGCTGAAAGTCTGTACATTTTGACAATAAACCTGATTTTCAGTAGAGGTTTAATAATTTTGATTACAACTGTATTTCATACATCAAAAAAAAAAAATAAATTTGAAAACAAACAACCCAGAATTTTAGTTGTTTTTTTATTTTATTTATTTTTGGCTGGAATCCCTGTATAAGGTTAATATGTCCAATTTCCTAATGTTCTACTTTCTATGTTACAATTTTACAAAGGGGATAACCGTAAATAAAAGGCAGTAAGGTGTTTTATATCTACTTACCTTTTACAACCATGTTTGTTTCAAAACCTGCTCTGCTATAAAAACTTGTTCTTTGGGGGGCTGGGCCTGACTGCAATGGCGACTGGTTGTGTTTTCTGAGCGCTCTTCAAGACCTTAATGAATTAGTCCAGTCGCCAGTACTTTTATTTGCACATCTTGAGCATAGTAAGCTTGCTTGGCACCCTGCATTGACTGACTGTTTTGAAACTGCCTCCGGTGATGGTCTGCGGTTGCCCAGGTGGCAATCTACACAAGGTATAGTGGGCGTTGTGACTGGGAGAGGCGGCCGATATCCCGGCCCAGCACACGTGGGCCCACAATATCATGAAGTTAGAGCCCCGCTGCCCCCCACAATGGACTGGTGGGGGTGATTCCGGTCCCCACCGTAAGGGCTCACAGAGTGCGGATAGAGCTGCCGCGCATTCCGCAACACTTAAGCAAGAAGAACTCAATATAGCGGAGGTTGCATGTTCCCGACCTCAACAGGAGGTAGTGGCGCGGTGTATCCACAAATACCTCCAGCCAGCCCCAGCAGCCAAACTACCATGCTTACCTGCTCAGCGACCCCGGTGTTCCAGGATCCATCACATGGTTGCGGTTACAGAGGTAGCCCGCCTCAAGAGGCCCAGGCCGTGAAATCAGTGCTGGGGAAACACTTGGAGGGCTTCAAGCTCATTGAGAACATCTACTGACAGCACAGGGACTGACATACCACTCAGGTGATACCTTGCATCTGTCGCTGACTCCTGGTCCACTGACTGGTGCCATGGTGAGTGGCTGCTACTTGCATAATAGGCATCGGCTTAAAGATGCATAGGGGACACTGCTGGCTATTGTGGCATTGTAAGCCTGTTGTACCATCTAAGTACAACCAAAATAAAGAATAAAAAAAAAAAATTGTGCTTTCTGTCAGGAATAGTAAGGACTTGAGCAGAAAGAACCCTATGAAGTATTTAAGCTGGCAGTGCTTCTCTTTAGTATTATATATTGGGGGAGAAAAGTCCTTAAGATCCTAATTTCTGTGTGATACAGAAAATACAACCTTTACTGTATACCTATATCCTGGAAGACACTTTTTTTCACTAAACCCCAAAAAAGAAAACTAAAGGTGCGCAGCAAAGATTTCTGCAATGCTGTGGTTTTTCTCTATGGTGCATTCAATAGAGTACAACAGGACAAAAACTTATTAAACAGGTTATGTCTACTAAACTGCATCAGCCAAAACAAGCCAAGGACACGTTAATTAACATTGCTTTTAATTAATGCAAATGTGAAGTGCTTTTGAATTTAACACAATTCAATTTTTATTTAAAAAGTGACTAAATGCTTTATGTACAGTAAGTGAAAAAAATATTTGATCCCCTGCTGATTTTGGACGTTTGTTCACTGACAAAGAAATGATCAGTCTATAATTTTAATGGTAGGTGTATTTTAAAGGGACACTATAGTCACCTGAACAACTTTAGCTTAATGAAGCAGTTTTGGTGTATAGAACAAGCCCCTGCAGCCTCACTGCTCAATCCTCTGCCATTTAGGAGTAAAATCCCTTTGTTTATGAACCCTAGTCACACCTCCCTGCATGTGACTTGCACAGCCTTCCATAAACACTTCCTGTAAAGAGAGCCCTATTTAGGCTTTCTTTATTGCAAGTTCTGTTTAATTAAGATGTTCTTATCCCCTGCTATGTTAATAGCTTGCTAGACCCTGCAAGAGCCTCCTGTATGTGATTAAAGTTTAATTTAGAGATTGAGATACAATTATTTAAGGTAAATTACATCTGTTTGAAAGTGAAACCAATTTTTTTTTCATGCAGGCGCTGTCAATCATAGCCAGGGGAGGTGTGGCTAGGGCTGCATTAACAGAAACAAAGTGATTTAACTTCTAAATGACAGTGAATTGAGTAGTGAAATTGCAGAGGAATGATCTATACACTAAAACTGCTTTATTTAACTAAAGTAATTTAGGTGACTATAGTGTTCCTTTAATTGTCTTGCAAACAGTCAAGTTACAAGTGATCTAAATAGGGAATAAAAAGAGGAGCGCATAAGCTCCATTCTGATGGAGCCTTTAGTAGCCTTTAGACAGGAGAGAGATGTTTAAATAGTCTGTACATTTCAACAACAATAACTTTATAACTGAACCAAATAAAAAAATAAAAAAAATATAACCCAAAACATATAGATGGGAATTGCTGAACATTTTTATTATGCAAATAAAAATAATAAAAAATGACAGGTGGGGTGTATATAATATGAATAGTAAAAATTCCTAAATTATATATTAGTACATTACAGAATTCTTGCAATAACTTTTCACTAAAATAATGAATTAAAGGGATCCTATAGTGCACTATAGGGTTAATAGGTCCGCCCCCGTCCCACTGGGCAGAAGGGGTCAGCCACTTACCTTATTCAAACCCGCCCATAGGAAAGCATTACTCAATGCTTTCCTATGGTGATCTTATTTGACGCTGGACTCCATGAGGACGTTCAGAGTTCTTTCAGTGCGATTTACTCACTGAAAATTGCAGAAGCGGCCTCTAGTGGCTGTCAGGGAGACAGCCACTAGAGGTTGGATTAACCCTGCAGTGTAAACATGCCAGGGGGACCTGGCACTCAGACCACTTCATTGAGCTGAACTGGTCTGGGTGCCTACAGTGGTCCATTTAAAAAAAAAAAAAAAAAAAGAGGGGGGGGAGTGAATAGACATTACTGTCTCCCTAATACATTTTTTGAAGAATGACATGTCTTGTGCACTTTGCATAGGAAAGTTTGTCTCCGTCGTGTTTTAATTTTTTTTTATTTTTTATTCCCAAATTAATTATCATTTTATCACGTATCTCTTTTGAAGTACTTGGATTAATCCGTCAAATCTGATTTTGAGCTCTTATTCACCTCTTATATCTCAGAGGACATCTGTAAGTGCGTTGACAAGTTCTGTATTAATCAGGAGTAAGTGTTGAAATATTTATGGTCCTTTATGGAACTGCTGTTACCCAGGGGGATTTTTACAAATCGCTCAGAACTATTATGAGACCCAGTCTGTGGCTGTATATATTAAAAGATTTCTCGGCATGCACTTAGCACATTTTCAATATTCATTTTTGTTAATTGCACAATCTGTAAAAGGAAATAGATTTGGACTATTAAAAAATGCAGTGTATATTAGGGTACTGTACAATCTTTCAATAAGACAAGTCTATATTTTTCTTAATCTTTTTTTGTTTTTGTATATAGTGTTTGATCACTGTTTAGAAACGTTCCCAATGTACATATCTAGATGGGACAGTCCTTCATTGGGACCTAAATCCCAGTGTCCCTCTTGTCTAGCTTAAGGTTTCTTTTTTTTTTTAGAAGTACAGAATATATGATGCATATTAGTTTATTTTTAGCAACAGAACATCAACAGATCCATCTTTCCACCACTCTTTAGACCAGAAAACTGGACTGTTTACCTTTTTTATTTTTAAATTATAATTTTTTTTTTTTATTTTTTTTTTCCAGCACTCTAAATTTGGCATCCTTTCTGAAATGGCAGATTTAGGCACAGAAAAGCTTTATAGGCTGTTATTAGAACAATTTAATAAATATACAAACCGATTAGAGACCATAAAGAAGACACTTGTCATAACACTACCCTCCATCGTTTGTGAACTATGGGCCAATAATTGGCTTATTAGTTGAGGTTCCTATGAACTACCGTTTTTTTCCCCCCCTGGCCAGAACTTGAACATTTCAATATAAAGAGTGCAGGTCTGTTCTATGAAATGTACTAACTTTTCCGACTGTTGGAGTTGCACACTTTTGTAAGTGAGCATTAGTTCAGATGCTATGTTGCCCTAGGGTTAAAGCCAGGGTGTTTGTATAATGGTATTTCTCACTAAAGTAACAGAAATTTGTCCCTGTACATAACTGCAGACAAACATGTTGATATCCACTAATACCCCTCTTTGCTGTTTTGCAGCTTCTTGAAGAAAATGAATGTCTCAAACAAGAGTTGGCCAAAACAAAAATGGCTCTTGCAGAGTCGCACATGGAAAGGGACAGACTTCAGCATCAGTTAAAGAATATATCATGTGGAAAGTAGTATACAGTAACCATCGATGATGCACTGAACTTAAAATGCCAGAATATATTTTCTGGCAATTTATTTTAAGGAGACGTCCTTCAATTCTGTTGATTCGGTATCATGCGTTTGTGATTCAAAATAAGTCATCAAGAGCCCATCTATTATTTTACAGAGGAGAAATCACCATTTTAATCAGGACAAATACATGTAGCCATTTTTTTTTTTTTTTTAAATAAAGGCTATCAATTGTTTAATTTCAATTATTGATACTTCAGTGTGTGCTCCTCCAGCACTGAATAGGTTAAGCCTAAAAGATTGGAAAACATTTTTTACAAAAAAAGTGTTAAAAAAATAAAATAAATAATAAATTTAGGGGAATTGTTTATTTAAGAAACGTGTATCATCAAATATTAATTTTCTTTAGAAGAATCTGTTTTACTATTGTTTTCAGGATTATTTTTACATTTTTATTTGCACTATCAATAAATAATGATTCAATGCAATTGCATTCAAATTTTTAAAGTTTTCCTTTGTATCATTTATCAGGTGCGTGTGCCCATGTGGGTCCTTGTGTACACATGGACTCATTGGATCCAGGAATACAATCTGCTTTTGTTGCTGACCTTAAAAATCCTTACAGGAAGATGATATAATAATAATAATATTTTGCAATTTTTATAGCGCTTTTCTCCCATAAAGACATAAAAGTTAGGAGTTTCTGATGGTCAGATAAGTGGACTGAATGCCTGATGGAAGAGGTGGGTCTTTACAAAGTCTGTAAGGACGGTGCCTCTCTGTGCACGGTAAAGAGTTCTAGAAGGTAGGGTCAGCGTGGCTGAATGCCCTGGAACCTAAGTCTGTCTTTATTTTTGCCACTGACAGGAAGGATTTGCTGGCTGACCGAAGTGAACGGGATGGAATGTAGGGTGTCAGGAACTCTTTCAGGTACTGTGGGCTTTGATTGTTTAAGGCTTTGAAGGTTAATAGGCCAATTTTGAAATATGTTCGCCATTTAATTGGAAGCCAATGCAGGGAGTGGAGAACAGGTGTAATGTGGCAGTAGCGAGTTTGATTGGTCAGTAGTCTGGCTGCTGCATTTTGTAAAGCCTGAAGTCGATGAAGTTATTTTTCTGGGAGGCCCAAGTAAAGTACATTGCAGTGATATAGCAGAGAGGATACAAATGCATGGATTAATGTTGGCATATCACATACAAAATACACAATCCAGCGCACTCACTTATTCACTAAACTATGATTTTTAAATCTTACAGATTGTAATAGTTTTATTTAAAAACACCTCACCTAGGCAAAAAAATAATGGGGGGTTAGTTACATTATATGATCGTATATTGCATAAGCCTGCCACAACGTCAATGTACCCCATTCTTGGCAGGTCATACTCTAACTGCCTAATGCTTGCTCTTATGATATTAATCCACTTACTTGGGAAATACTTCCTTACTGGGACTCTTTGCAAGTCAAGGCTAAATAGGGCCCTAGAATGAGGAACCTGTGACAGCAAGGGGTGCAAAACCAAGGAGTTGGCCTCGACTCGGGTGGAAGTATCCTGGCTACGTTTTTTCCAGTCCATCAGCACTCCGAGGTTTCGTACCTTTGATGAACTATCTTTTCTCTGAAGAAGATCACAAATGCTCCACACTTATCCTGAGAAAAGTTGGTGGGGATATGCATGCATGCTGGTTTGCAGAGCCTTTCTACTGTGCAAAACAGTTGCCTGGGTCTATTGTGGGAGAGTGCAATTACGTGTGATAAAAATGAAGATTTTTTTTCTGAGTTATCTTGAATTGATATTCATTTAGCTGTTTGGTAAGAGTGGCTTTATGCCGTGATCATGTGTCCTGCTCCACTTTTTCCCGAGTTTATGGCCTGTTCTCTTCATTTCTCTGGTGCTACAAACCACGATGCATTGTTGTGCGTTTTGACAGTGCAAATGCGTGTTGGTGCAATGTTTTCTAGGGTGTCTCTCACGGTTTTATTGTAGGGTCGGACTAAGGAGCTGGGGTCTTCACAGGTGCCCATTAGTTCACTTAGATCCATATGTGATGTTACATCCAATGGCATCAGCCCTTTTAATGAGCGGTGTTTGACCAGGTTCTTAGGCTGGGGTCTAGCTGATTGTGATGCAATGGAGAAGCGAATGGAGTGGTGGTCTTACCAAACTGGATTTACAGTTACTGGTGACACTTCTAGTCCAGACTGGAACACTAGATCAAGTGTATGACATTTTCTGTGGGTGGAAGTGTGTGAAGCCAAGTGCACTCATCAAGCTGAGGAGATCCTGCCCAAGCAGCGATAGGGTGTCATCAATTCAAGTGTTGAAGTCTCCCAATATAAGCCATCTGAGTTATTCAAGGATTAAGCCAGCCAAAAGGTCTGAGAGTTCCTGAAGAAACTTTTTCCCATCTCCTGGGGAGTCTGTATATTAACAGAATCCAGAATCTTCTATCTATTGAGAGGCTGGCAGCTACGCATACTAAAGATTGGGGTTTGTGGACTGATTTGGTCTGGGATTTAAGATGAAATTGTGTTTATTTCATGGAGAATGTGGGAAATCATGCTGAAACTATTTAACCTCACATGGTGCCCTTAACCATTATCATACTTTGGTCCCTTAAGTTAGATATGCACCACATCTTAAAATTTCTACTTGTCCAACAGCCATTGGTAAGTAATAATTCAGCTCTCGACCATCCCACTGTCTGTCGCTATCCTTGGAGTGGTACCCGACAAACCCTAGATAAGAAGTCAAATTAGTCCAAAACTTACATTGGGGGTACCAGGGGCACACCTGCCAAATTTACAGCATGCTGTAGTGGTGATCATGCTCGGAGTGTTTCCTAAAATATTTGTAATGGGCAGCTAGATGTCTCCAGTATAGGTAAGCAGCTTAGAACTTCAAACCCCTCTCCTATTCCTCTTATTCCGGTTTAAAGCTCTGCTGAGAGTGTGGTAATCTGACCGTTAGCCACCAGCCTTAAAGGGACACAATAAGTATCAAAACTTTTTTAGCTTAATCAAGTTTTGGTGTATACAATCTATCTGCTTAATTCTCTGCCATTTGAAAGTTAAATCACTTTGTCCATCCAAACAAAATCCGGTGTCTATTGAATTAGCCCGTAAAACGGCTTAATTAAGCTAAAATTGTTTTGGTGCTTAGAGTGTCCCTTTAAACTGACACACGCACTGTGCATAGAGTATTTCAACAAGTTGCATGCCTCTCAGAGAGGCTGACAGATCTTTATGGAAGGAAGATTAGGCAAATTATAATCATATATGTATTAATACAGAGATAATGTAAAGTGATAGTTGGTAAACACACTGCAGTTAATGTATAATTTTAACTTCAATTTGATTAACTTTTAGATAATGTACTAGGTGATATAATCTTTGTGCCGAACCACTTACAAACACAAAGCTAAAAAAGTAATTTCTGCCAAATGCTGTCTGAAATGTAACTGTACAGTTGCCTACCCACTTTTAACGTAACTGCCCACTCCCACCGTGTTCGCACCCTGTGCACCTTTAATTTAGGTAATCCTCACATGGGAGCAGTGTTGCCTGACCACTTGGATTTGTCTGTTAGTATGTTCTGATGTGTACTGAATGGATGCAAATGGTGGTTGATGTCTTCACAATGTTAATATCACAGCTATTCCTAATTTTACAAAGAGTGAATTACCCATATCTGCACCAACATTGACTCAATGTTCCTATATAATAAAAGGGTTCACTGGTCATGAGGTTTTACTGCCCCGTTACAAAATATTATTATTTTGAGACGGTTAAGGGGATCCAATCTTATTTCTCCTATAATATCTAACATCATATATTTGTCTTTAGACAAATTTGCTGTTTGCATTGGGATTTGTATAGGGTGACACGTTTTGAAAAAATACATATTTTTGCATAGATATAAAAAACATGACAATAGTGTTGGTTCTCATCCAGGTAAAGAGAACATTTTCCACCTCCAGTATTGTACCCCTAACTTGCACATGGGCACTGTAAATGTTACCCCTCTGCTCGACACAGCTCTACAGAGGAGCTTGAACAGCATTTAGGTGTAGGACGACAGAATTCTAGATACATAATAGTTCATCTGTGAAGACTGCCATAATGTTGTTTGAAATATAGACACCTATTTTTAACCAGTTAACTGGATTTTCTATATGTGCATTTTACACCTACATTGTCGTAAAGAGTGGGTTCAGCAGGAAATTTTGGGAAATGGAATTAAAAAAAATAGATATATCTTTGAAAATACTTATAAGTCGGGCATTAATCATTTTTAATTCCATTTTTGCAAGACGACTTCTCAAGGTTAAGTCAGACCTAAAATTACTCACAGCAGGAAACTTCCTCCTGCAGCAGGTAGTCTAGGAATGCACAGTAGCATATGAGAACAAATTCTACATCTTAATAATTATTGATGGTATTGGTTTGATTTGCTATAATTACACCTCTGAAGGAGAGGTTTCATTGTTCAAACAGACATCTCATGTTCAAATGTATTTCTGATGTGTGACCAATTCCATTCCTTTTGATGTCAGGCCGTGTTTATAAGTTTCCTCAAATGTATTTTTAATTCTCAAACACAGCCACTTTATTTGAAATTAGCAGGGATGAATAGATATTTATTAATAGACTGACCCAAAACTGCCTATGGCTCCTGACAATAGGACCTCCTGTCTATTGCTCTACTTACCATTTCATTTGTTTTATGTGCCGCTCGCATTTGTTCTTTTCTAAAGTGGTTAAAGGCAACTTGTGCCCTAGTGTTTTTTTTAATGGGAAATTACTGATCTACAACAAAGGAAAAACAACAGTTCTTTGTAATTAAATCTAGAATAACCTGAGCTGGAAGTATTTTCCACTCTTGAATTTAACTCTCTGAGTTTTGGTCTATGGGACTGGTTGCCTCAGACGAGCTTGTCACCATAATAAAAAAAAAAAAAGAAAGAAATACCTATACAGTAAGCATTATACAGAATTTTCTACTTCTATCAAATATGTTAACATATGTGTGTATATTTATATAATGTATTTGACAGGCTGTTATTTTCATGAAACAGACAAGGTGTATCAAGGTGAAAGTTATGATTGTCTGCTACTCATATGACACTTTAAATTCAGTGTAGGTGAATTGGAAGGAGAAAATTAAATCAGAATGTGAAAGCTTTGTCCAGTTTAGACCTGTATTATTATATGCAATTTGGAAGAAACATGTGCAAGACCAAATATTTAGGTGAGCATTTTAAATGTGAATAAATTATTCTATGCAATCCAAAGGGACGTCAAGCTCATGTCAGGGCAATTTTTGATAAAGAATTGGTAAATAGGAATACATACTCATGCACAGTGGCGTACATACCAGGGTCGCAGGGGTCGCGGCTGCGACCGGGCCCGGCCCACCAGGGGGCCCGGCCGCCCCTGCGACCCGGTATGTACGCCCAGCCTCTTCCCCGGGGGA